CCTTTGAACCCATGTCTCCCTTAATTTGACTTTTATGTCAATCCTGAGTGATAAAGGGTTTGTTTTGATCCCAAATTTATAGAAGAAACCACCAAGATTTGGAGGTTCTCCGATTCTCTCAAGGTTACAAAATTGGGAATGGGAGTCCAAAGCCAAATATACACTGTCCATCCCCCAGGTACTTACCGAGCCCTACTGTGTGCTGAGCAGGGCCAAGGCTCTGGGATTCCACGATGGACAAGACAGGCATGATGCCTTCACTCACAGAATGCAGACTACATTTAAGTCCCAGACCCATCATAGCTCCTTAGAGAAGTGGAGACCCTTGCCCCCTGCAGCCAGGGAGGGACCAGCGAAGGTTCTTCAGCAAGGGTTCCTTATCTTCTTCGTGCCCAGTGCTGATGGGCACAGAAGGAATGAAATCATATAGCCCTGGTCGGGAAGGCGCTTCCATCCAGGAGAGACAGGGAACCAGCACTGGAGGTGCGTGGAAGCAGGAAGTAGATAAACTCGAGAAGGCATGGCTGTCGAGAAGCTTAGCCGCAGTCTGGCTGTGGCTCACTTTCTCCAACTGTAGGTGGGTGCGATGATGGTGACTTTCTTCATGTACTTGCTGTGGAGGGGAGTGGGCGTATACATGGCAGTACGTGGCGGTGGTGATGAAGGAGCATGATCACCACCATCATCACTCAGGCAGCAGTGGTTAGGGAAGCCTGGCCAGGGAAAGAGACTGCAGGGTAGGAAGACGGGAGCCGGATGATGCAAGGCATGGGCCAGGAGAACATGCGGACACATGTGAAAAGAAGGGAGTGAAATGCTGAGCAGACCCGAGGTGCGTGTGGTTCAAGTCTGAGAGCGGACACACTCTCCTCTGCCCGCCTGTCACTCTGGCAACTTCACTGGAGATTTCTTGGTCTGTCCAGGACCCAGCTGGGGATTAGAGGCAACAGTCCCCACTGGGAGCTGTCCTCCTTAGAGTGGAGTAACAAACCGAGGACTCCCTGTTTGTCATTGATTACAATGGCAGAACCGGCCAGAGTGGTGGTGCTGCCTTGGAGATAAAACACAGCCCAATTTGACTTAGGGTAAATCTGCTCTGTGCTGGGGTTGCTGAACGTGTTTTACTTTATTTGGTTTTGAGATACAGTCTTGATAGCTCATTACGTAGACCAGGCTGGCCTTGAATTTGCCCTGATCCTGCCTCTGCCTCCTGAGTGCTGGGATTGCAGGTACATGCCATCACTCCCAGCCCATTCAGGGTTTGTTTTGTTTTGTTTTTTTTGAGACAGGGTTTCTCTGTGTAGTTTTGGTGCCTGTCTTGGATCTCGCTCTGTAGACCAGGCTGGCCTTGAACTCACAGAGATCAGCCTGGCTCTGCCTCCCAAGTGCTGGGATTAAACGTGTGTGCCACCACCGCCCGGCTAAGGGTATTTTAACAGAGATGTTAGAGAATCACGCTGGGGAGGGGCATCTGTGCTCCTCACTAGCACGCAGCCTTGTTACTTGCTTGTCCTGTTCCCACCCTGCCATAACTTCAAGAGTTTAGAGTGGCTGCAGCCTTTGGCATGGCTTAGGACAGGCGACAGAGCAGCTTTTCAGCAGTACCCTGGGCGAGCCAGGCATTCTAAAACAGCTCAGTCAATGCCGGCCGGCTTCAGCCAGAGTGACTCATTCCATGTCAGACATCCTGAGATGGACAAACGCTGAGAGACACCTGACAGGCTAATACCTAGATTGACTGATACATAAGAGCTCCCCATCCTGTGTGGATGTTCCGGCACCCCAAGACACAAGTGCCGTCTTCCTGCCTTCTGACTTTGTGCCCGTCACCAGAGAGACAATTCTTTCACTTTGAGGGCTTGAGAATCTGTAAGGTGAACAGAAATCAGAGGCTGCCTCGTCCTTGGAAAAAAATTACTGAGTTGTTGACTTGTTCACACAGTGGATACTGCCTTTTAAGCAAAGCGTGGGGGCAGCATTTATCTTTTGGTCCCAAAATATTAGCTCTGTAGCAGGATGGAATTCTTGGGAGGGTCTCTCACAGTTTATAAACCCTGAAACATGTTGAAATCACCTGAGAGATTTCTAAAAATCCTTGTTCCTGGGCTACATCCCAGACCAATTAGCACTCTCTGGGGAGAAAGTTCAGGAAACTATATTTCTAGAAAATCCCCAGATGACTCCAATGTGTTCAGATGCTTAAGAACCCAGAGTCTAGAATCTCTGGTGTTTCCCAGGCTGGTGGTGGATTTTGAGCTCTTGGACAGGGCTCACTGGTTGGCCTACTTGAAATGATTCATTCCATCTGTAGGTTAGGTCTTGCCTGGCAGGTTCAGTGTGGGCAGCAGCCAGCGTGAACTGGGTGCTGACATTTGGTGCTGACATTCTATGGGAAGGTTCACAGCATTGGCCACACACAGGCTGCTGGCACTCCTAGGTAGAGGGAGCTCACCTACACACTCGAAGGCCAATGCTGAGGTCAGGGATGCTGTCTTCTGTCTCTGTCTGGAAGGTACTCAGGGTACGTACTTGCATCATTTCCCAGGCTTGTGGGAAGGGAAGAGAATAGTTGGGTTGATGTAATGAATAAAAGTAGAACAGGAAGAAGAAACCTAAGGCCAAGGCAGCTGTGACTCACTGTGGTCCAAAGTAGGCGTGGAAACAGGCCTTCGGCAGCCACAACATAGCTGCTTTTTCAACAAGGAAGTGGCTGGAGGTTGCCTGAAAACTGAGACCTTCCAAGGGGCTTCTGGAGTTTTATATCACTTCACTCTTTTTTTTTTTCTTTTGTAGATGAATATGAGAATGTGCTAGGGATGACAGTCTGCCTGCCTTAGAGATGGGCAGAATGAAGTATCAAACAGCAGCCATACAGCTGCTCTTTCGGGCTGGAAATGAGAGGGCCACAGCCAGGTACATCTGGTCTGTAGGTACGTGCCCAGTGTATGGAGACTGGGAATGGAGAGTCCCAGAGTGAGGACAAATGAGAGACTCCAGTTTGGAAGTCCCTGGATGAACGAGTCAACAATAAATGAAGACAGCCTGTGAGGCCCACGTGGCTTATTCACGTCAAGCAATCAGGAGAGGTGCCAGCAAGGTCCAATTCAGAGATCGAAGAGGGCATCCTGGTAGGCCCCAACATCCTGCCAGCACCCTCCCACTCCAGGTGTTAGAAGTCCCTCCTTGCCAGCTTCGCAGAGGATGCAAGACCCACTGGGACCCCTAGAGCTGGACGCACTGATCAGGCCAGCTTAGATGAGCGTCCCACAGGTGGGGTCTTGATTTCCCAGCTGTTCATCCCAGGCCTGCAGTGTTCAAATGCAGTGACCAGGGAGCTGATCCCTGCAGCAGAAAGGCTGCCCCAGGGTGACCACATGGTCAGCTGAGAACTCCAGGCTTAGATGGACTTCATTCTCATTCGCACTTGGCCACTCACTAGCAGTGGGGCACAGGCACATGGGGCGCGCGCGTGCGTGTGCGTGTGCGTGTGCGTGTGCGTGTGCGTGTGCGTGTGTGTGTGTGTGTGTGTGTGTGTGAGACAATAGAAAGAACACAGGTAGTATGTCAGAGAAGGCATGTGAAACACGCAGCACGGTGATGTTGCCATCAGGAGCCAGGGTGAAGAGTGCACAGGGAGCAGACTATGGAAAGTGCCTTAATGAAAGAGGATGCTGCCTTGCCTCTGTGGAGCGCTGGGAAGGTGGAGCCAAGGGCTCAGCAGTGCCCACTTCTCCCGGCAACTGTGGAGTCTGCAGTTCCCTGTGCTCTCTGGGATCGGAGTGTGGGAGGATGCATTGGCAAGCTGTCCGTGTGATGAAACCCCGAAAATGGGTGTGTTGAAGGGGAAGGTCAGGGGCGAGCTCTGGTGGTGGCGGTGGCAGTGTGATGTGGGACCTGTTGTAAAATTCCCCCAACCAAACCCAAGAGCAGGTGTCAGATGATGTCAAAGCCATCTCCCTCTGGGTACCAGAGGTGACCAAACTGGCCCTAAGTCTGCTGGATTTCTAAGATCGGGATAATTCTGGGAGAATTTTTACAGACCAGCTCCCATAATCCAAGCCACTCAGGGCAGCATGAAGACAAAACTGGGAAGTGACAGTGAATACAAGAGAAATCCAGAGAACTGATTGAAAAAGATGGCATAATTCTCAGAATCCACCGTGTACCGCACTGCGAGGGCTGTGGACTTCACTCAAACTGCATTCCTCCGTCTTCCTGGAGTCGGGAAGGGGAAACCGGGACTATATGAGGAGAATGCAGCATGGTGATGCAGAGAGGACATAGCAGGACAGGTGTGGGGTTTCTGGTCTGTTCTGCACATGTTGGTGAGGGTATCAAACCAGTTGGTAAATGCCTTGGTCTTGATGTTCCCATCTAGAAAATGGGGGTAGTGAGTCATCACACAGTTTGGGTCTGTGAGATGCAAAGATGGCTGAGTACTTAAGTGTACAGAGGTACTCAGTAAATGCTGACTGTCCCTAGTAGAGGGGACTACAGCCCCCCTGTCCCTACCAGTTCATTCATTTAACAAACATACCTTCACCTGTTATGAGCAAAGCTTATTGGCCCCTGACATGAGCTCTGAACTGGAGGGCAGGTGCCCTTGCTTCCTGATTCTGAGAGTTACCAGCTTCTAACATGCATTCGTACTTCTCTGCAGCATTATCATTATTTCTTTGAGATAGACCGTGTCTTCGTACCTTTCATCTATGAGCACCTTTCCCATAGCAAACATGATCACATGACGTCCTACCCACTCACCGAGTTCATAGCCAGTACTCATGCGGTGCACACTGGCATTGGTTTCCCAGCCAGTCTGGGGGTAGGTATTCCCATTTCAAAGGCAGTGAAGCTGAGGCTGAGAGCGAACCGAGTGGCTGGCCTCTTACTGTTCTTATGCTGGCACTGATTTCTTAGCCAGAGAGGCCTTTGCAAGGTAAGCTTACTGCCCTTCATATCCTGAGAGCCCCTGTGACACTCCACTTCTCTCTCTGCTCCAGAATGTCTGTAAGGCAGTGGAGGAGACACAGCACCCGCCCACGCTACAGGAGATCAAGCAGAAGATTGACAGCTATAACAGCCGGGAGAAGCACTGCCTGGGCATGAAGTTGGTAAGCAGGGCCTGCCCCTCCCTACCCAGCATCCCTTCTGCCTCGCACCCCACCTCTCTGCCTGGCTGTCTTCTCTGTCTGGGCATGAAGTCGGTAAGCAGGGCCCGCCCCTCCCGAGCCAGCATCCCTTCTGTCCCCTCTCCCCACAGAAGAAGTGACTCCCTTGCAGCTCACTCTCCTTTGTCCAGACCCAGCTTTCTGTGGCCTCGGGGACCCCGAGAAATAGAATGGGTTTTAGAATAGACTCCAGATACAATCTCTGTTCCATTCACGCTCTGGGAAAAGCTTAACCTCTCCTGACTTCAGTGAAAGAGGTGTTTAGGGGATTAAATGACAGTGTCCAAGGGCTTGGAGGCTTGGTCCCCAGGAAGACCTTGGCCAGGGGAATTCTGCAAGAGAAGTGGAGTGTGCGTGGTGAGCACCCCTGACCTTGCACAGGGTCAGAGAGGCTGTCTTTAAGGGGTGATGCTAGAAGAACCCTGCCCCCTGCTGGAGACTGGCAGCAACTGGCTCTTTGGGGCTTCCAAGTCACACAGGTGTCCCGGAAAACAGATTATAGTCAGAGGCCCCGGAGTTTGGTGGGCGGGACCTCTGAGGACCTTGACGCCCCTGCCTAGCTCTGAGGTAGAGAGGTGCCTGCAGACTCTGCCTTTAGAGTGAGTGAGTGCTCAACAAGGCAATTGGCACCTGTCTGGTAGAGGGTTTGGGGCAGCCAGGCTAAACTTCCTGTGAAGGAAGCCTCAGCAGCCCCACCAATCTCCTCTGGTAACCGGACTCCAGACCTCCTGGCCCTGGAGGAGAGTGTCTGAACTTCCAGCAGCTCAGGAGGAACTCAGACAGGTTGGCTGGAATGGGCCCCATCAAGGCTTCCGTAGTTGACAGCCTTGAGTGGCAGGCAGAGTCACCAAGACATGCTTCCTACTCGCAGAGTGAAGACGGTACCTACACGGGCTTCATCAAAGTGCATCTGAAACTCCGACGGCCCGTGACGGTGCCTGCTGGGATCCGGCCACAGTCCATCTACGATGCCATCAAGGAGGTGAACCCCGCAGCCACCACCGACAAGCGGACATCCTTCTACCTGCCACTCGACGCCATCAAGCAGCTGCACATCAGCAGCACCACCACTGTCAGCGAGGTCATCCAGGGGCTGCTCAAGAAGTTCATGGTTGTGGACAACCCACAGAAGTTTGCACTCTTTAAGCGGATCCACAAAGATGGACAAGGTAGGAGAGCACTCCCACCCTTCCCCCAGTCGGCCAGTGCCCACACAGTCAGCAACCCACTGCGAGCCCCGGGTGGGAAGTGTGGGCTTCCAGGCAACAGGGCTACGGCCATCTACATGGTGTTAGGATTCGTGGAAGAGCCAAGCATGGCAGCTGGGCAGGGAAACTAGCAGAGAGCCTGATCAGGCAGCGCATGCCTACCACTGTCCAATGCATGCCTGCACAGCAAAGACATGCTCTGGGCTCCTAATGTTTACAATGAGGAGTCCACCCATTGTTCTGCTTCCTTTGGAAGATGAGTCAATGGAGGCAGGGCCTCGGGAATGCCAGGCGAGAATGGAAGGCTTCTGAGCTACCGGTGTCTTGTCAGGTTCATGCCCATTAGAAGAACATGTCCATTCCCAGTTATCTGCTCCAACCTGTGCATTTCCAGCCCACCCCACCAAGCCTGGACCCTGCCCTGTCCTGTCCTTCTCATAGCTTGTGAGATGGCATCCACCCAACCCTCCATTCTGTTTCCAGTGCTCTTCCAGAAACTCTCCATTGCTGATTGCCCTCTCTACCTGCGTCTGCTCGCTGGGCCTGACACCGAGGTCCTCAGCTTTGTGCTCAAGGAGAATGAAACCGGGGAGGTAGAGGTATGTCTGGACCCTTCGTAAAGACCAGCCCCCGGTGGGGAAAGAAGGGGGCCGCCGTCCTCACAGCGCAGCGTGGGTGAGGGCAGTGGTCCGGCTAGAGAGCTGTGGAGAGTGCTGGGCCACAGGCTGTGTTTACCCCAGGAGAATCGATGGGACACATCATAATGAAGCAAGTTATAACCTGCACATGGCCAAGTCTGTGGAAAGCATTTCACTTGCTTTATGGAAATGGGGCTGGGGGTATATGGGGGCGCGGGAGGGGGAGTCATACCCTGAGAAACTCTATTTGGGCCCAGGTTGGTTTTGCCCCAGACTGGCCTGAGCACAGCAATTTCCAATTGGGTTCTGCTGGGCATAGGCAGTTTTTGAACCATTTTTCTCTCCTAAAATGAGGACTTCCTTTCTCCAAGGGGGACTAACTAACCAGTGTCCGTCTCCTGGCAAAAATGGGGTAAAATCAGGCAGTAAGCCGCCAGGCCCAGGGTACTTGGGATGTGGTCTTCACGGTACAGAAAGAGGAGGGTCTAAGTGTTTATCACACTGTTTGGTGGAGGTTGAGCATGAGCAGGATTTTTTTTTGGGGGGGGGGCGGTGGGTAGGGGGTGAGTCAGAGGAGATCTGAGGATCTCATTTCAACCAGGACACCTCAGTGTGGTCTTGAGTCTGCAACAGAGTCTGTTAGGAAAAGTGAGCCACTGAGAGCCTGTGAGCTCTGTGGGCCTATGGGCCTGGGGTTGGGAGAGCCAGAGTCCAGCTCTAGTCCCCACTGTGCGGCTGCTGGCTCCATGGCTGTGGTTTTCTTACCTTCTCCCCATGGAATGTGGGGGTTAGAGCAGGCGCTCCATAAATACTCCCGTGCTCCAGGAGCTTGGAGTCTAATTCTTCTCCATGTGGAGGTGGCCTGGCCAGCTACAGCCGACTGGCAGGTGGTACACTGGCTCATGAGGAGGTGGGTCGAGTTTGGTGCCTGACGTCCACAGCTAGTGTGAGGTGTCCTCCTGCCTCTGGAGAGCACAGCCAGCACCAAAGAGAAGCCCCCAGCTGCTGCTGCCTTCCCATAAAAACAGGGCGTGTGGACTAGGATCTCCATGAGTGCCGGGATTTGACAGTTTGTGGCTGATGTGACGTCGTGTATAGTACAGATGCCATTCATGGTACCTGCGTATTCAAAGAGTGTGGGGCCAGCTCACTGATGTAAACCGGAGACAGCGGCAGGGCCCTTGGGTCATGCCACCTTCTAACCATTTCCCCTTCTTCTCTCCGCCTCCTCTTCCCTGCCTCACAGTGGGACGCCTTTTCCATTCCTGAACTCCAGAACTTCCTAACTATCCTGGAAAAAGAGGAGCAGGACAAAATCCACCAAGTGCAGAAAAAGTACAACCAATTCCGGCAGAAACTGGAGGAGGCGTTACGAGAGTCGCAAGGGAAGCCTGGGTAACCAGCCTCTTTCCTGTCCTCAGTGCCCTCCGATTTATTTTATTATTTTGCAACAGACACTTATTTTCAAGACACCTCTGGGTCCACCTGTGCCTGCCCAGCAGTTAACAGATGTGGCACAAAGTCTCTTCCACAAAGTGTCTGTGCAGGGTTCGATTCCTGCCAACCCACCGCGCCATGACTCTGGAGAGGTTCCGTCTGGATCAGAACTCAAGGAACGAACAGTTTCTCCTGCTCAATCTGCTGGCCTTTCACAAACCAAATAGTTGCCTCTCTGGTCACCAAACTCCAACCAATCACACCAGCCGGCAAAAAGCAAAGAAAGGTTTTAGAGCCCTGTGTTCCTTCTCTGGATTTAGTTCTTCAGTTCCTCTTCCTTGCCACCATAGTGTCTTTATTTATGGGTCCAATATGGGATATTCATTCGGCGATGTCCTTGAAAGCAGGAAATGCTCATGAAAGGACTGCCCTCCTTGCCCCAGGTGCCTCCTCTTCACTAGGACTAGACACTCAGGGTTAGCCTGAGATGTCAGAGGCTACAGCCCGGACCAGGCCCCGTCTGTCACCCCACGGCCTGTGCACATGAAAACCCAAAGGCAAATCCATCCATCTGTGTGGTATTTCAGCATGTCTTTGTCCGACTATGTTTGTTATGTTAGACTTCGAGTTTAATGTTGTTGTCCTCACGGGTCTCTACCAAAGGGAAACTGGCCACTTAACAATTTTAGTCTCCTGCTGAGTCACCGGGAAGTCCTGCAGAGAAGCACATCCAAGCTGTCTACAGCCTGCCTGCAACTAGGAAGCAGTGGGGGCCTGGACTCCTGGGTCTACTCCGCAGGCCTCCAGCTCGGCCTCCATCCTCTCCAGCTGGAGTAGCAGCCTTGACTACACACAGTGGGAGGGTTCTTTCTGTTGCAAAGCGTGGGCTGCTACAGCACAGCAGTCAGCAAACCTCCCTGGTGACTTCAGTGCCTTTTTGTTTTCCGAGAGAAGAGCAGGGCATGTTTGCTTACAGCTCTCCTGCTGGCTTGACCCTGGCAGGAAGTGGACAGTGGTGGTGTAGAGATAAGGACAGGGGATTCCTCAAAGTACAGGGTGATGATCACACACCTCTTTGCCATCAAGCTTCCTGATCAGGCTCTGATTTCGAAGATGTGATATTATTAAACCACACTGACAGCATCAGATTATGACTCCAGCTCTTTGACTAGTTCAAACTGAAAACAAATTACCCAGGACTGCAAGGACACTCAATACAGAGGGGGAAATCTTGTCCTTTTCAAAGCAGGCCGGTGCTCCAATCTAGCCTCCAGAAGAGACATTTTCTTGTTGCCTTGCCCTTCCACACCCCTTGGGTTGTTTTAAGCCTAAACTTCTAAGTATAGCCTCAAAATTTCCCTCCCCAGCTCAGGCCAGCCTACACCGCTCCTGTCCCAGAGGAATGCTGAGTCCTTGTCATTCAGTCTTCTCCAGAGCTGCCAAAGCAACATGAGCTAGCAACCCTGAGGCCGTGCATGCCGTCAACCCTGGCTGTCCGCCATCTCCTGCTCAGCTTTATGGCGTCCCTCCCTCCTGTGTATGACAGGGGCAGGTAGAAAGTCACTCCCTCCATCCTGCATGTCTGCAGCATTAGGAGAAGGCATGGCTCCTGCTGCAAACACTGTGAATGCTGCTGAGAGCCTCCCTCCATGGATGGCTATTTTATTTTTGAGAAGAAAAAAAAGTCATGTATATATATGCAAATATATATATATATATGTGTATATACACATAGAGGCATATAGCTATATATGAAGAAAAGGTGTTTATTCAGAAAATAATAGTGAAATTCAGACTTTAAGCACAGTTGGACTCAGGGCCTCTACTGAGGCTGCGACTCTGGGGAGGTCACGTTCCTTCAGCCCCAGAGCTGGCTGTAACTGCTGGTGGTGCCTTCTATGGTTGTGTTGCTCCGTGGGTGTTCGTTTTGAAAAGATTTTCTTTCTAAATGTCTTTCTTATATATGTTTTTTAATGATTAATAAAAGCTTACTGCAAAAACAATTTGTGATGGAAACATCCTCACTGAACTTCATCTTGGGGAACCGAGCTGTGGGGAAGGGCTCTGCAACACTAGGAACACTGCTTGGCGGAGCCAAGTTCTCTTCTACAGTAAGTTGGGAATACAGACTACTATCCAGATGCTTTTGAGAAAACTGTCCACACATGGAGGGTACTGCCTCTTTTCCGTCTCCCTAGTGCTGGGGAGGGAAGGGGGCTTAGAGCAAAGCACGTGTTGAGTCAGAACAGAGCAGGGGCTTTCTGACTTCAAAGGTAAGTACCAGCTCTGTTCTGGAATTATTTAAGACTAAGATGTCAACGTGTCACTGGTGACTCCAGCTGTGAGGGGGCTGAGCTGGTACCAAGCAGCCCTCATTTGGGCACCCTCTGATTTCCAGCAAAGAAGGATCTTTGGATCACAGGAAAAGGCCATGTAAGTTACCTAGAGAGATCACTGCCGACTTCCAGTGATGCTCATGTACCACGCACTACATGGAGCCTACAGGCTGCAGGGCTCTGCCCCTCTCCACCAGACATCCTTAAAATCAGCCAATCACAGGACTGATGAGGTGGCTTAGAGGTAAAGGTGTTCCTGCCAAGCCTGTCCTCCCGAGTTTGACCTTGAAACTCACATGGTGAAGGGAGAGAACTGACTCTTTCAAGTTTTCTTCTGACCTCTCCATGTGTGCTGTGGCATGTGTACTCACACATGGACACACAATTTTGTGTGTGTGTGTGAGATGGGGTCTCTCTATGTAGCACCTGGCTGCCCTCAAACTCAGATCCACCTGCCTCTGCCTCCTATGTGCTGGGATTAAAGGTGTGTGCCACTACACCTGGCTTACAATCAAAAATCTTAAAGAATTAACTTTAAATTTTTGACATCTAACCTCTGTGGCCAGCCTGGTCCCGCACATCTTATGCCAGGGTCCGGCCAGGTGGGTCTGCCTAATCCCTTACTCCATGCACCACGCCCAGTCCCCAGACCCAGCCCGAGTCCCACATCCAGTGGACCAGCCTAGTCTGGTCACCCCTGCCACAGAGACTCCAACCTCCAGGCTTTGGCCAGGACAGACATGTGGCCCATCCACCTAGACTTACCTCCTACCACCTGACTCCATCCTCTTGTACAAAAACTAACTCCAAATGGACCAACGACCTAACTGTGAAACCTGACAGATGGAAACTGCTGGAAGAAACAGGCAGTATCCTACAGGATGGAGCTGTAGGAAAAGGCCTTCCTGAAGAAGGACTACACTGGTCCAGAAATGAGAGCCAACAGTTCGGGAAATCAATCAAGTGAAGAGAAAGCCCATAGATGGAAAGAGTCTTTGCCAGCTATATATCCGACAGAGGATTAAATCCAGAAAATACAAAGAACTCAAAAAGTCAAAAGAGCAAACAACCCATTCAAAAAAATGGACTAAGAAACTAAATAGAGATTTCTCAAAAAAATAAAAATGGCTAAGAAATATTTCAAAATATGTTCATTTAGGGAAATACAAATCAGGATTTGTATTTTTTTTTTTTTTTTGCCAGTCAAATTGGCCAACAAATACTGGAAAGAACGTGAGGAAGAGGACATTCTCAATCACTGTTGATGGGATCGCAAACTGGTTCACCCACTCTGGAAATCAGTGTGGAGAATCTTCAAAAAACCAAAAATAAATCTACCATATTGTCCAGCTGTACCACTCGTTGGCAATGGCCAAAAGACTCCACATCCTACTCCACAGATAGGTGTTCGGCCATGTCCACTGGTGCTCTGTTTACAACAGCTAGGAAATGGAAACAGCCTAAATGTCTTCAGCTGACAGATGGATAAGGAAAACGAGGTAGATATACTCTAATACACTGTGGAATACTATTCAGCTGTAAAGAAAAGTGAAACCATGAACTTTGCAGGTAAATGGATGGAACTAGAAAAGATTGCAGTAAGTAGTAACCCACATCCAGAAAGACAAACATCACGTGCTCTCGCTCATCCGTGGTTCCCAGCTCCAAATCTTCAGAAGTGAATACATGATCTGGAGTAACTGCAGAAACCAAAAACCATGAAAGTAAAACTGGACAGGTTAGGGGGCTATTCAAGCTTCCAAGGGAGGGAAGCAGCCAACAGTCCTACCCAGCTGTGATACCTATGAACCATAACAACCAGCATGGCAAATATCCCTAAGGGTACAATAGTGGCACTCTTATTTGGTGTAACCAACTGCTTGACTTAAGGCCCGCTCAACAAGAGGAATGCATGTCTGGTGCTGAAAATCTGGCCAACTCCCCAGGGCTAGTGAGGTCAGAGATCTTAAAGGAGAACCTTCTCTTGCTACTTTACTAGACCAACAGAATTCCCAACTGCACCCTAACTACTTACCCTTATACCCACAGGGAAGTGTAGCTCCTACCCATCATCAAAGAAACACCCCTTTTTAACAAAGACCTCGACAGAAAACCGCAGCTGCAGAGAACAACTGACCACAGGACACCATCACCAGCTGCTACAGCTACACCCAAACCCCTGCACCTAGCCCAGTATGGTGGTGCATCCCAGCACTCGGGAGGCAGAGCCTGGGATCTCTGTGAGTTCAAAGCCACCCTGGTCTACAAAGCAAGTTCCAGGCCAACCAGGGCTACAAAGTGAGACCTTGTCTCAAAAAACAAAACAAAACAAAAATCAAGAAACACAAAAGCCCAGGAAACGTTACAGAAGAGGGGTAGAATACTGTAAGAGTCAGAAGACCAGGGACTCTGCTGTGAGGTTGTGTCTCCTAGAAATGACAGAAGTTTTGGTCACAGGATCTCAACAGCATGGCAGCCTAAAACAAGACCTGAACACGGACAACACCAACATGGAAGGGGGGATCTCATGGGGCCCCACTGCTAGACAAAGAACTAAATCAACTAAGTAATGTTAAGAGTGGGAGAAACAGTCTTCCCCAGGGATGAGCCCTGTAATTGGCTAGCCAACACCTGGTGGTCAACCCTGAAATCATACATTCAAGTAACACTGAACAAGTGGAGCAGACTGAATTATACGTTTGTTCTAATACTCACATCATGTGCACACACACAAGCAATTAAAAAAGAGGTGAGAGAGAGGAAGGGGAGCTATAAGAGGGGCTAAGGGAAGACAGGGATAGGATGTAAGTGCTCCCCTCCCCCGCAAAAAAAAACCTAAGAAAACTCAGCTAATCACTGTATATCTGTAAGCTCTGTCCACCTACCAGAAGGGCATGGGAAAGAGGCCCTTTCTGCTTCTCACTGGACTCCTTTCACTGTGGCATGGCATTGTAAGTTCAAAGTCTGACCTTGATATGGATTATTTGGCTTAGCACAGAGAGAATCCATTCCATGGTCTGGCTCTGCTCCACCCTCTTCCGCATCTACACGCCATTCACAGAGGAGAAAGGACGATGATTCAGTGCCAATGTATCACTATTCCTGGAAAAAACACCCCGGCACAGGCCTGGACAGCACACCGCCATGGCAGGGTGCTGGCTGAACCACAGTGAAGGGCAGATCCCCTTACAGGCTTTGTGCCTTTAGCAGGGACATCATCAATTTCTGCAGCACTGCTTTCCATGGGCATGCAGGACAGATGAGGCCTGTGAGAACACAGCACAGTGCTGCATGTCATCTGTATGCATGCAGGGGACATGTGTTAGCGCTGCACATACTCCACCCCTCAGGAGCGGACGCGTCTCTACAAAGGCTTTGTTGTAACAGGATCCTGCCAGGGTTGGCTTCTAGAAGGCATTCCAGGTTCCGTACATGGATGCTGGTAGAGAGAGGGTTAGTGGCGGTAAGACGTGGACTGTCCAAGTGAAAGGCCTGTTCTTGGTGTCACAGCAAGAGGTGGGAGTTGTCACACATTTTTACACCCACCCCTTTCTTTCTTTCCACGTTTAAAAAAACGGGTGATTTGGTAGACAGTACACGAGAAAGCCTCTTTTATCTCAGTTTTTAAAAGGATGAGAAGGAAAAAAGGTAGTTCTCTCTTAATGGTAAAATCCAGGAACTCTTAAGGAGTTTACAATTGCACAGCTCTAACTCCTATTCACACGGAGAGCTCTAGATTCACAAATGACCTGCACAGCCCAAGGTGGAACAGAAGCTACAGGTCAACTACTTCTGACATCCAGTGACTCCTCTGTACTCAGATGAACACAGCTCCTCTTCCTGAGTCCTCTGAAGACTGACCGAACAGCCCTTCCTGGAAACCAAGCTTCAGAAGCTGGGGCTAATGAAGGCACTTGTCTAAGACGTCACTACTTCAAAGCTCCCATCCTGGAGTTACATCACAGACTTGGCCGTGGGTGGCAGCTGTACCCAGCTGGGGAAGAAGCACGGTCACATAGGAACCGTGTTCTGTTTTCATTGTTCTCACGTCTACTGGCTGAATGCTGCTGAGTTCATTCTTTCTGTTGCTGGGACTGAGGGCAGAGAAGAGCCAGGCTGTTTTCTATGGGCCTAACCCTACAGAGACACCAAGGAGCTGGCAGGCCTAGGAGGTTAATTAGGTCACAGGAGCACTAAGTAGGAAGCTGGTCTGTCTGATGGAGAGGCTTTAGAAACAGGAGGGCTCTACCTGCTGCACTTCAGATGGGCTGCCCTGCCTCTTACACAGGGCATGAACTAAATCACAGAAACCACGTGAACATTCTCACTAAGTGAAGGATAAGGCCATTCAGATTTAGATTAGAATAAAAGCTTTATGTAAAAGAATTACAGTTTTTATTTGCAAAAGTTGAAAATGCTTATATCAATTACCAGCTCAGAACCTGAGTTCCCATGGGATCCACTGCATAAAATGGGTCTGTCACTTCTTGCCAGGTTTGGGGGCCTTTTCTAGGCCTTGGATGTATTTTCCCGGGAGCCGATACTCTTCTACAATCCAAAAAGAAAACCTTCAGCCACGCCTGGTCTCAAGTCCCTCCTGCCCCTCCCTGCTTTCCATGTCCCTTGGGCCCTGTAACCTTCTGCCCTGCACTGTCCACTAAACCCCTGTGCTCATCCCTGCTGCCAAGGAGCTATTACAATCATTGCCAACACATGACCTGCCTTCTATGTCCTGTTCAAGCTCACCGGTGTCTGGTGACACCTAGGATGGACCATTTACCACACACAGTAGTTGGACAATGTATTTTGGTCATTTATATCCTGCTAGCTATCATCTAGATCAGTGGTTCTCAAACTTCCTAATGCTATGACCCTTTAATACAGTTCCTCAGATGGGTAGTGGTGATGCACACCTTTAATCCCAGCACGTGGGAGGCAGAGGCAGGCAGATCTCTGAGTTCGAGGCCAGCCTGGTCTACAGAGCAAGTTCTGGGACTACACAGAGAAACCCTGTTTTGAAAAACCAAAATAAAAACAAACAAACAAAATACAGTTTCTCATGTTGTGGTGACCCCCAACTATGAAATTATTTTCACCGCTCCTTCCTGACTGTAATTTTGCTACTGTTATAAACCACATCGTAAATCTGTGTTTTCCGATGCTCTTAGGCCACCCTGTGAAAGGGTTGTTCTCCCCCAGGTGGTCACAACCCACAGTGAGAGCCGCTCATCAAGATGTTCTAAGAGAGAAGGTGGGTGTCTGCTCAGGTGTCTGTTCATCTATTTTCTTCTGTCTCTTCTTAGTCCCATTCCACCACATGCGGCTCTCCACATAAAGGAGCTCAATTTTGGAAGGGAATTGCTGTGGACTGTCATAGGCCATGAGATAACGCTACTTACTGAGCATGTGCTACATGCCAGTCTCTTGAGTGTGAGACAGGCATGGGAAAGGCAAGGTCTATCCCAAGTTCTATTTTGCAGAGGGTTCAGACATTAGAGAAAAAAATTAGCCAAGCTCCAGACACTAACCAGAACTATCAACACAGCTGAGGAGCACTAATACTAGTAATTTTTATCACGTTCAAAGGGAAATGGGCATTGCCCCTGAGCTGTGCCAGTGAACCTGTGAGGACAGACAGGCCAGGGATATGGGGGGCGGGGCACACAAGACAAGGGAACAGGCAGGTACAGGCAGGTAGATGTCAAGCGGCCCGTGTGTGGGGGGGAACAGCAGGAAACTGGCTGGGATGCCATTAGGATGTCAGGGAGCTGGGGAGAGAGGCTGCAGGAAAAACAGGGCAGGCTGGGAGGGGCGTGTCCTCAAACTCAGGAGCTTGCTCCTGAAGGCATGGATAAGACAGAAGGCCTTCTAGGACAGTGATGGGATTCCAGTTAGTTTAGAAAGGTAAGCCAGGCGGAATGTGGAGCAGGGCTTCAGTGAAGGACAAAGTAGAGGCTACAGACCCAGAGAGAATCAAAAGAACTATGGCTCTGAAAAATAAAAAGACTCAGAGCCCAGCTACAGTACTCAAGAGTCAGGTGAGCTCCAGGCAAGGTACTGAGTCTCTCTGGAGCACAGTTATAACCAAGGAGATGCCCTCTGCAGCCCAGCTGAACACCGGGCATGGCCGGGCACTCACCACATGACGGCTAGGAGGGGAAACCAGGAGGAAAGCTAAGAATATGCCTGATGGAGAGAGCAGGGGTTCTGGGAAGGGCCAAAGGTCTGGTTCAAACACTGGCTTCATCTCCTGCTCACTGCTATAAACTGAAGTGTGTGTGTGCACGTAAATACATAGACTGTTATTTCTTGATGGAGTTATGTCCCCTTATACACCCATTGTGAGTTGAAAATATGGTGAACCGAGGGGCTGGAGAGATGGCTCGGCAGGTAGAGCATTTGCTGCTCTTCCAGAGGATCTGGTTTTCAATTCCCAGAATCCACATGGCAGCTCACAACTGCAGCTCACATCTACAACTCCAGTTTCAGAGGCTCCGATGCCCTCTTCTGGCTCCTGAGGGCACCAGGCACACACGTAGTGCACAGACATACATGCAGGCAAAACACCCATACACATGTAATTCTTTTAATTATTAAAAAGAGAGAGAGGAAATATGGTAAGTTGAAAAGGCACATAGTCCAGCTAAAGTGGAGGGCACCTTAGCTAAGTGGCTCAGCATAGTGTGGCATTCTGGTTGTTCCCCCCTTGATCACATGACTGACAGGGGAGGGGCTCTTGCTACTACCTAGCATCTCCACAGACTGTCTAGCCAATGCTAGTTCTGGGAGAGTTCAAACTTCAAAATCTGAAGTACAGTTTCCCTGGAATCCGTCATTTTTGCACCACTGTGAAGTGGAACTCTGTGAAGACTATAGACAGAGGTATGATACTCACTCTAGTGAGTGCCGCGAGATCCTTGCCAAGCCATCCCAAGCATCTCGTCAGCAGGGATACTCACCAAGCAACAGCTGGCCAAGGTGGTGGATCTGGTTTCCTTGGATCTGCACCTGCACACTGTCTTTGGCCCCAGGGGCAGGAGAGACGATGGTGCTGGCCTGACATCGCTGCTGGAGAGTGGTGGCCACCGAGCACGGATCAAGACCATAGATCTCCAAGTTCCGGACCACAGTCACCTGGGGACAGGAAGCTGGTGGTGGGTGTTTATGGCACACACTCTCCTCTAAAGGGCCTTTTGGCAGCCACCTCACCCATGTTCCCTGATGGTTCTCTATCCCTGTAACCCTGAGGCCTTTCTGTCCATCTCATCCACTATATGTATTAAGAGATACTCTATTCGACCTATAACATGTAATTCAAGGGTTTTTTAACCATGGAAAACTTAAAACGTAAATAAAATAGTACAATTGTATGGTGCCAAGCATGGTGGTACACACCTTTAATCCCAGCACTCAGGAGGCTGAGGCGGATGAATCTCTGTGAGTTAGAGTTTTAAGGCCAGCCTGGATTACATATACCAAGTTCTAGGCCAGCCAAGGCTACATAATGAGACCCAATCTCAAAACAAAACACCAAAAAAGTACAAGAGTGTGATGGACTCCTACACACTCATTACCACTTTCAACAGTTGTCTACTTACTGGGTTTATGGCTCCTGGATTACTTTACAGCAAATCCTCCTACACTTCAGATCTTTTCCTACATAAATATTGCAGTATGTATCTCTAAAGGTTAAGGACGCTGTTTTCTTTTTCTTTTTCGTTTTTAAAGACAGGGTCTCAACTATGTCTCTGGTTGGCTTCAAATTCTCTATGTAGACCAGGCTAGCCTCTAACTCACAGAAATCCACCTGCCTCTGTTTCCTGAATGCTGGGATCAGAGGCAGGTACCACCAGGCCCTGCAAGATAAGGGCTGTTCTAAACATGAAAGCAGAAGCAGCTGGTGAGATGGCCCAGCGGGTAGAGGTGCTTGCTGCACAAACCTGATAGCCTGGGTCCAGTGCCCGGGAGCCACAAAAGGTAGATGGAGAGAGCCAACGCCACTAAGTTGACTTCTGACCCCCATACATGCGCTGTCCCATGCATGCTCCCCCTCCCAGCCCCAATAATGATGATGATGTTGTTGATGATGATAATAAAATATTATGTACCTGACAACAGTTCAAGTCACATAGCTAGTCAAAAACATGGCACTTTTCCATTATTAGCAACAAATGAGAAGAATGGGACTTCAGGACAAAAAGGAAAGCTTTTTTTTTTTAAATCACAATTAGGGCTGGAGAGATGGCTCAATGGTTAGCAGCACTTACTGCTCTTCCAGAGAAGCTTAAGTTCAATTCCCTGTACCCACATGACAGCTCAAAACCCTCTAACTCCAATTCCCTGGGGGAATCTAACACCCTCTTCTGGCCTCTATGGGAACTGCATACCTGTGGTATCCAGACTTGCATGCAGATGAAAAACCCATACACACAAAATAGAAATAAATAAATCCTTTTTTAAAAGCTATAAAAATCACAGTCCAGGGCTGGAGATAGCTCTGTGATTAAGAACATCGACTGCTCTTCCAAAGGACTCGGGTTCAGTCCCCAGCACCTACATGGCAGCTCCCAACTGTCTGTAACTCCAGTCTTAGGGGATCTGACACCCTCTTCTAGCCTCCACAGGCACCAGGCCAAACACAGCATACAGACATGCATGAGGCAAAACACCCACAACACACGAAATTAAAAATAAATATGTAAGTGACGGTCCTCCTTTGGTAGCTCTTCAAGATGAGAAAGGAGCACCATCCTGTGGCCGGGAGGGGCTGCTCTCTACAACGTCTTTAAAAAGCCTTACGCTTGCAAGGACTGCATACACAATCTTAGACTCTACGAGGCTTTAGAGGTCACATCAGAAAGCCAGTTTCCTCCCTGAGACCCTGGCTCTATCTCTCCACAAGTGGTCACAAAAATCTTTGCTTGCAGAGCTCCGGAGAAGAACTCATCATTTCATGCAACACCAACTTCATCTTTGGACGGTCTATTATTAATAAAAGATTTGTGCTGTCAGGTGGTGGTGGCGCACGCCTTTAATCCCAGCACTCAGGAGGCAGAGCCAGGTGGATCTCTGTGAGTTCGAGGCCAGCCTGGTCTATATAGAGTGAGATCCAGGACAGGAACCAAAAGTACACAGAGAAACCCTGTCTGGAAAAAAAAAAAAAAAAAGTTTTGTGCTTAATATATACATAGGTGTGTGGTATGCTGTCTGGCAGGTAACTGTTGCTAATTAAGGTTACCATAGCAGGTTCTCATTTAGGGACTGCTGAGTGCTGAGTGCTGAGCCTACACACAGCCCTCATTTGGTCACTGAAGTAGAGGGCAAGTATTACCTCCTTTCCTCACAGAAGGGACCTGAGGCACGAAGAAGTTCAGCAGGTGCTCAAGGTCAAGAAATGAGAAAAGGCCACACTGGAATTCCAAAGCCTGGGCCCAGAACCACACACTCGGCATAGTTCTCTGTTCTGAGCCCAAGCCTATGTTCTCAGAGTTCCTACCTGTCCTTCTCCTCTACATATGCAGAACAAGGACACTTCTTTTGCAGGGGACAGCATTCTATACATTTTGAAGGCAGTTATCATTTGTTCCCTACAACTTTGTGTTGCCAAGCTCAACACAGTTCCTTCAGCAAATTTTGACAAGTTACTTTCATTGAGCAAGGCCCAAGAGGTAGATTGTGGAAGAGACGAAGGCCTATGAAGCAGTACCAAGGAAAAACTCAAACTAAAATACGTTCTCTTCTGAAACAGGCTCTAGCAAGTTTCTTAGAAGAAACCCCCAGAGGACAGGAGGAAGTGTTTAATGATACCCCTCACCCAGGGCCAATGCAGGCACACAGCACGGGCTGTCCAATCCAAATGCCTCCAATCATACCAGGAAACTAGAACTCAGCAGGGAAACTAAGTCACCATTCTCAAACACTGGATCTTTTTTGGGTGGTGGTAGTGATGGAACCCAGGGCCTTAGCACAGGGACGCAAATGCTCTGGCACTGAGTCACAGCCACTGCCCCAGTGGTTTTTAAATTACCTTTTTATTATAAGCCTTCTGGGCAAGGGTGATGTCAATCGGACTGAGTTTCCCTTTCTTCAGAATGGGCTCCTGTCCAGGAAACGTCACTTGGTAGGCAGGCTGCATATTTTGCAAACACCTAAAATGAGAGTTCCAGTTATAAACAGATCAAGGCAACAGCCAGCATCTCTCTGCATTCTGCTACCATGAGCACCGAGTGCAAGTGTTCGAGGCACACGTATTTGCAATCTGGCTGCAGGTCAGAAGCATTGAGATCACGTGGAGAGCTGAACTACAGACCAATGAACCACAGACCAATGTCTCAAAGCTTCCCCAAAGTGTAGCCAAGGTTGACATCCACTGATCCAGGGAAGGAATCAACAGTGACTTGGGTGCCTGGAAACTCTCCACTTGCTTGGCCTCCTGGGAATCTGCAGTCTGCCTTGTGGAGGATACTCCCTGTCTCAAAAGTGTACCTTCCCAGCTTACTGCCTCCAATACTGCTCACATCTTACTGCTCACATCTCTCACATGGTCCAGCAATGCATGTATATGTTTGTGTGTGCTCCTGTGAATGAGGGCAGGCACCTGCACAGCACTGTGCATGTGTGAAGGTCAAAGGACAATCTCAGGAGGCAGTCCTCAACTCCTGCCCTCTTTGGAACTCGGCCCCTTTGGTTTCCCCAGCTGCATACACAAGGTTATCTGACCCACAAGTCTCCAGGGACTCTTGTGTCTGTCCCTATCTCATCATAAGAGGACAGGGATCACAGAGGTGTGCCTGACGTCACCTGGGTTCTGAGGACTTGGACTCAGGTGCAGAGGCTTGTGAGGTAAGGGCTTTACCCACTGAGCCATCTCCCCGGTAACCTGTAATAATAACAATGTATCTTTTGTAGGACACTCAAGTCTACAGTAGCTCATGCCTAAACCCAGCACCCAGAGGCGCAAATACATGGCCAAGCTACTCAGTGAAGCTTGTCTCAAAAACAAACTAACAGGAAAGCCAGCTCAACTCTGCCATCATAGTACACAGCACCCCAAAGATAAGGCTGTGTTCCAATAAAACTCACATAAACATGTAACAGGCTAGAGTTAGTGTGAGCTACAGTTTGCTGGATCCCAATATGACTATTTTCAGCTGTGGTTCTACAGGAAAAACGTGTCAAGAATGTTTCCTCTGAAGACAACTCCCCAGCTTAAGTGGTTTTTTTACTGAAGTTCTTTTTTTTTTTTTTTTTTTTTTTTTTGGTTTTTCGAGACAGGGTTTCTCTGTGTAGCTTTGCGCCTTTCCTGGAACTCACTTGGTAGCCCAGGCTGGCCTCGAACTCACAGAGATCCGCCTGGCTCTGCCTCCCGAGTGCTGGGATTAAAGGCGTGCGCCACCACCGCCCGGCTGAAGTTCTTATTTTTAATTAATGTTTTTCTCTCTGTCAAGCCTATGCTTATGGAAAGAAAGTCACAAACTAAAATAGTGACAGTCTGTACATGTGGGTAGAGTATGTACTTGTTGGCGTAGATGTCTGCATGTGGGGTCTAGAGGTCAGTTTGGGGCTCCTCAATCACCCTCTGACTTAGTCTTTGAGACAGAATCTGTCATTGTACCTGAAGCTCATCAGCCTGGCTGAGCTGGCAGGCCAATGACCTCCAACCTGTCTCTGTTCCCCAGCACTGAGGTTCAGACAGATGCCGCCACACCTGGCTTCTCTGTGGGTACTGGAGAGCTGAACTCAAGCGCCAGTGCTGCAGCCACAGGCCCAGGCTGACATCAGTGACCGTTCTGGAGTTCTGTGGTAGATACTAAGGGCAGCAGTGCAGGAGAGTTGAAAGGGATCGCCAGGCCTATTACCTGGTCAGGAGACAGTCCCACGGAAGCCTCATGACCGAGTGCTGTTCATTTTTCTCTAAGATGCAGTCACATAAGATAGGATCCAATTTCACCAGACTAAAGAGGAAAAGAGCATTAAGGCAACTTAAGATTCAACCGTTCCCAAGTGATAGCACCCATCACCTGCGTACCCTGTGCCATCCAGGATCACCCCGCTGTGGGACCAGAGGACACCAGGCAGTAAAGGATGGGAGGGCAAAGAGAAGAAGCAAATGGTGGAAGAAATGTGGGAAGGAGTCACCGGGATTTCTGGCTTGGTTCTGCTATGGGGCCATATCTTTCAAGGCTTCATCTCAGTCAGCAGGCTAGTAAGGAGGGAAGAATGTAAATTCTAAATGCTATAGTCAGTATAATGTATACATGGACTAAGCTGTTATGTAATACCCCCAGGGCACATATAGTTAAAGTGGTAACAACTTAGGGCTGGAGGTGTGGTGGTAGAGTGTACACCGAGCTTTCTAGAAGCCATGGGTTCTGTTCCCTACACCACAAAATAAATAGTAATTTAAAATAAATAAACAAAAACTTTTTTTAAAGTGGGGCACTATATCAGTGTGTGGGTCTCTCTCTAGTCATGAGGATGTCTAGGAAAGAAAAACATCAGTGCAACTCTTACCTGTTAGCATGCCACCTGGACCCATTTAGAAATAGAAAAAATCACACCAAAAAGCCACAATGACTTTGAGTAAATACTTTTTCAAGGTTGCATTTTTTCCTGACAACAGCCCTATGCACTTGAACATCAGTGGTGGACGTGTGTGAGATGTGTGTACTCAGCTTATGGTCCATTTGGACAGCATGTGATCGACCTAAGCCCCTAGGTGACAGCCCGTGTCCACAGCCCATGGTTTGCAAACACTGCATTTGCCTATTTCTAAGCTGCTGTGATCGTCTATTCTCCAATCCAGAATCCTTCCCATCCTTTGTTTTTAACGTCATTTCATTTATTTATGCATGTGTCTCTGCGTGGGTCTGCAAGTGCACAATGGTAAGTGTACACGGGGAGCAGTTTGCACGAGTTGCTTCTCTCTCTACCATGTGGGTCCCGAGGGTTGAACTCAGGCAGTCAGGCCGGGGAGCAAGTGCCTCCTTTACTCCCTGAACTACCTTGCCAGCCCGCTTCCTGCAGCCTTTAATTAATGTCTGTTTGCAGAAACAAAGACCTGAGAAGACAGCTCCATTCTCGGTGCCCACTTACTTCCTGTTGTCTGCATCCACCAGGCTGTTCCTCTTGGCATAGTCAATGACGATCCTGCGGACCTCACCGCCCTCAAGGGTGCTCCCCTTCCTAGAAGAGAAGTAACCAGAAGTTAGTCCAAGCTGTCCATTCAGACCCCCTGCTCAGCAGGGCTCTTTCTTCGGCTCTCGCCTTTCTCTTCTTTTCCTGAGGGAGGCAAGCCAGGCTACATGAAGTCCATCTGCAGAGAGAGAGAGGCCTACTCCCTCAATTACCTAACCCAAAAGGCCATCCCAGGGAGAGCGCTGTGACACTGCATTTAGAAGAAGGGAGATGGGCAGAGCAGGTTTCCAGTCCCAGGAAAACACCACTCAGGTGAGAGGAAAGGGCAGGCGGACACCATGTAGGCAGAAAAGGGCTGCTCTCCAAAACTCACTTGTGGCCAGACTCCTGGAAGAGCTGGGTCATGTTGGCTGGGACACAGTAGAGGGATTTTATATCTGGAGGGTGATAGGGCTGTTCCCTGCTACCCTCCTGGACAGTCTGGGAAGTCAGGGAAGGCTCGGGGATGACAAAGGATGTGATCCTAAAACCCAGCAGAAGAAAAGAAAAAGCACATGTTACACCAGTGCCTTGGCAGCCCCCCATCTGTGGCCCAGTGTCCCCAAACCAACTGAGCTGCAGTGACAGGCCCCGCACTCACCTCGGGTGCCTCCAGTCCACAGCCACAATGCTCTCCACCCCTTTGCTCAGCTCCTTGACCTGGACAATCTGTTCCTGCTGCATGTGCTGCAGAAACTTAGAGAGCTGGGGAGAGAAGCCAGCATAGGGACTTCACTGACTCCTCATTGAACACCCAGGAGGGCCAGGCCCGGTGCGAGGTGGGGACTGGAGCACTGTGACCCAGTGTTTGCTGCCATTAGACTAAGAACCAAAAGACCACACACACTCCGGCAAGCTGGGGAACAAGGAGCAACTAGAGGGCTGGAGAGACGGCTCAGTGCCTAGGAGCTCACACTGGGGGCTGGAGAGACGGCTCAGTGCCTAAGGGCTCACACTGCTCTTGCAGAGGACCCAAGTTTGATTCCCAGCACCCATGTTCAATGGCTCACAACTACATGTAACTCCAGCTCCAGAGGCTTCTGGCCTCCTCTAGCACCAGCACTCATGCATCTATACATAATTAAAAATAAAAATAACTTTAAAAAAGAAGCTGCTGAACTAACTGATGAAGTCTGTTAGACTCTAATCAGATAGAAAGGGGCCACAGAGGAGAGGGGACCAGGTGCCTTGGCCCAAGGAGAGTTTCATTACTCCCCATTACGCCTAGAATCAAAAGGCCCATTAGTTCTAGCCTGAGCCCTGTCTACAGGGCTTCCCATATCCATCTTATCGCAAGTGTATTCCTACATGACTCTATAGACATGCAAAGAAGGTGCAGGCTCTTACCTTTTTATAGCTTGACTTCTTTATATCCAGCTGCTGTCCTTCGGGGCTAGGACAGATAAAAAGGCGAGTTAAACCAATCAGTAAATGTTGGTACCTGCCTGACTAAAGTAACCTCTTCCTCAGCCGTCTTTCCCTACCCCAGAGTCAGAGAGGCCACCATTCTGGAGCCCTCTGCCCAGGTGTGGTACCAGGGAAGATACAGAGTACGGGATACTCTGAGTCAGAACTATCCAGTAACAGCACTGTTGTGGCAATGGGATTTCTGTCCGTGGTGTCTACTATGGTAACCACTAGTCATCCATGTGCTGTGAAACATTTGAAATGTACCGACTGAGATGGTGAGGTTGGGGACCTGAATTTTAAACTTTAATTTAAACTTAATTGGCCACATGTGATTAGTGACTATTGTAATCAGACATAGCTTTAGAGTCCTCTCAAACCAGAGAATCTCCTATGGCCCCAGAAGTTCCACTTCAAAGTGAACCTCACAACAGCCAGCTCACACCGAGGAAGGCAGGTCCATACCAGAGTTCAGCAAACTGCGCTCTGGAGCCTGACTAACCCAGCCACACCCATCACTATCTGTCGTCTTTGGTCACATGAGTGCACAATGGCAGAGGACCTGAAACAGTGCACACGGCCTGGAAAGACTCCATTATTTACCATGTGGTTCTCTGCAGTCCACTGATGCCTGCCCGAAAGCAGTTTTAGGGGAACTGGGGATAGAGGTTCCTAATGAAAACTGTGACTCCTCCCTCTCCTCAGGAACTTCTTCTCAAAACCTGACTTTCAACAGCAGTGTGACTGTCAGGGGGACTGTTCTAGAACCTACTCCAATCTAGTGCCTGCCTAGAGAAAATCCTGGAACACTGTTTCCAGTCACCTGCAACTCAGCATCGGCATGACAAATTACCAAGGATCCCAATGCCTCAGCTGCCCTGGTGCCTTAAGGCCGTGTGTAGACAGAAAGAGTTGGATTAATTACCACTTTCAAAATACAGCAAGAGTCTCAGGAGCACACCACCCTCTGTGAGAGAGAGCAGACTGTGTGTGTGTATGTGTATGGGGTGGTTTTGCTCTTCCTCCACCCCCAAAAGTCTCACTGTAACCCAGGCTGATCTGGAACTCACTCACCAGCCCATGCTAGCCTTGGATTCACTGCTATCTTCTTACCTCAGCCTCTTAAGTGGTGTGAGCCACAGTACCAGGTGATGGGGTATGCAGAAAAGACCCTGCTCTTACAGTAGTAACAGGTGCTTGGTATATGCCAGGCTGTGCAATTTTACAGTAGTCCTGGAAGTATCAGACATCTGGGCTCAGAAAAACCCTGTGACTACTTGCAATTTGCCTTGGTTAAATATGCTAACGAGGTGTCGGCTGAACCTTGATGGCTCCGTCTTCAAAGTCAGTACTCCCTTTCCTAATGGCTATATTCTCAGTGGGGTGGGCTTCATCCCTACTCTCCTCCACGCACCACTATTCCTAAGTGGGAAGGGTGGAACAGTACAGGAAACTCCTTGACTAAGGCTGTTCGAGGACTCTCGCAGTGCATGCCATGGTACCTGACTCCTGGGACAGCCCAGAAGCACCTTGGCAGAAACAGCAGCCGGAGACTCTTGGGACTTTCAACGTTAGTATCCTTTCCCTGGATAAAACTGAAGGTTTTAAAGCCAAGAACCTAATTTACCTGCCAGATCAACTTTCCGCTCTGTCCTTCGAACAGCATGTCACTCAACCAGCCCCCAGCACTCCTGCCTTGCTTTACCACCAAGAACAACAGTGGGGCCTTATCTGCAGCCCCCCCCCCCCCCAGCAGTGCCTTCCATACCAGCAAGAGAACATGTGACTGCCAAGGAGAGTGCTGGTGAGCAAAGGGAGGTCAGCTTTCTTGACTCGACTCTTCAGGGCATGCAGGAAGCATTGATGTAACAGCTCATCCATTTGCTCTGCAAGGAAAAGAAAACCACACCCTTCCTGAGGCTCCCACATTGCCTGGGCACTGCAAACTCTGTCTCTCTCTCATTACCTTGGCTCAAATGGAGCCCATCACTAGGCACCAACGCTCCCAAGCTGCAGACTTCTAAAAAGTGTGTGTGTGTTTGTGTGCTCACATACTACAGCATGTATGGAAATCCGAGGACAGGTTTCAGGAGTCAGTTCTCTCCCTTTACCATGGGCTGTTCCAGGGATTGAACTCAGGTGGTCAGGTTTGCAGGGCAAGTGCTTTTACCTGCTGAGTCATCTCACTGGCCCCTGTTGCCTGCTGAGTCATCTCACTGGCTCCCTGTTGCCTGCTGAGTCATCTCACTGGCCCCCCATGGCCTGCTGAGTCATCTCACTGCCCCCCCCATTGCCTGCTGAGTCATCTCACTGCCCCCCCCATTGCCTGCTGAGTCATCTCACTGGCCCCTGTTGCCTGCTGAGTCATCTCACTGGCCCCATGGCCTGCTGAGTCAACTCACTGGCCCCATGGCCTGCTGAGTCATCTCACTGGCCCCATGGCCTGCTGAGTCATCTCACTGGCCCTCTGTTGCCTGCTGAGTCATCTCACTGGCTCCCTGTTGCCTGCTGAGTCATCTCACTGGCCCCATGGCCTGCTGAGTCAACTCACTGGCCCCATGGCCTGCTGAGTCATCTCACTGGCCCCATGGCCTGCTGAGTCATCTCACTGGCCCCATGGCCTGCTGAGTCAACTCACTGGCCCTCTGTTGCCTGCTGAGTCATCTCACTGGCCCCCTGTTGCCTGCTGAGTCATCTCACTGGCTCCCTGTTGCCTGCTGAGTCATCTCACTGGCCCCCTGTTGCCTGCTGAGTCATCTCACTGGCCCTCTGTTGCCTGCTGAGTCAACTCACTGGCCCCATGGCCTGCTGAGTCATCTCACTGGCCCTCTGTTGCCTGCTGAGTCATCTCACTGGCCCCCTGTTGCCTGCTGAGTCATCTCACTGGCTCCCTGTTGCCTGCTGAGTCATCTCACTGGCCCTCTGTTGCCTGCTGAGTCATCTCACTGGCTCCCTGTTGCCTGCTGAGTCATCTCACTGGCCCCATGGCCTGCTGAGTCATCTCACTGGCCCCATGGCCTGCTGAGTCATCTCACTGGCCCCCTGTTGCCTGCTGAGTCATCTCACTGGCTCCCTGTTGCCTGCTGAGTCATCTCACTGGCCCCATGGCCTGCTGAGTCATCTCACTGGCCCATTCTAGATTTTGAACACTGATCCTGTAAGGGTTAGCTCGACAGGAAGGACCAAATCTATAGTGTCACCCAGCCAAGAACATCCATTCAGAGAAGTCAGAACCAGGAGCCCTAGGGACTCACAGCTGGAAACTATGTGACAGACAGACAGGCGCCTAGGGGCATGATTATGTAAGGAGTACAAAACTATTGCATGACCCCATATGAGGGTCCTGTGCTCCTCTCCCAGAGCATCAACGCATTCTAATCTGAAGGACAGGTATGGGCTTTCCACTCCCAAAGCCACACCTTGAAGGGGCTTGCCATCCTGGGAATCCTGGCTCAGGGCTCCGGAACTGGTGTCTTCAGAGGCTTCTGGGTGATGAACCTTCCTATTCTCCTCCTCTCCCTCCAGGGTCAGGCTGCTCAGGTTTCCATGCAGACCAAGGTCCACCTTCTCTTCATTGCTATCTGTGGGATTCACTGCCAATGGGGCAATGGCAGGTGGAGAGGACTTGTCTCCAGATTTCCTGGAAAAATCTGATGTTAGAAACACCAAGCAGTAGCGACGATACTCACTCACCCTGGTCAGGGGAGAGTCAGTCAGGCATTCAAAGCCAGTAGAGCCAGCAGGCAGGAGTACCCTGGACATCCAAGTGATGTACACTCATCTCAACTCTATTCAACTACTCTGGGACCAGAGAAGTCCCATGCCTCAGCTTGGTCATCTGTAAAATGTGACTGATGTTCATTTCCTCCCTATCTCAAGGAAATGATTGCTTATATTTTTAATAGTCAGCCTGAGACAGATACTAAAGGAAAAGCATAAAAGAGAAAATACAAAGAATGAACCTACACCAAAAGGCTACAACACTGGGCTACAGAACCAGGCTTGGTGGCATATGCCTACAATCCTAGCATTCAGGAAGCTCAGAGCAGGGAATCTCAAGTTCTAGGTCAGCCTGAACTACGTAATGAGGACCCATCTCAACCTTCCCTACCCCTAGCCCATCCCCCATAGAAAACCTAGTTCTACTGCTTTTGAGAAAAACACTGTTTACTGTTTGGGGAGAGTGACATTAACCAGACAAGGGGCAGACATGTGGATCTGAAATGGGATGGTTATAGCCAGAGTGTGTGTCCCATAATGAGGGTTCTGAGACATGATACTCGAATAGCATAAAGTCAGTTATCATCCTGCTGTCTGACAGTTGATCTGGAGTCAGAAGCACTTGTCTCAGGACCAAATGATGTCTAGAATGCACATAATGGACAAAGTCAGACTAATTAGTACTATATGTACATCACCACAGTGAAGGGCAGGGCCAACAATTCCTAAGTCTAGGGCAACTGTCTGGGACAATTCCAGGCCTAGAAAACAACCAAAGCTGTTTCTATTTCTTGTATGGACAAGAAAAATGTATTTGGCAAGTGGATGAAAGTCTGGGGTCCACAAGTTGCATGAGGATGGGCCTAGACTAATACTTGCACTTCTGAATCTCAGGCTCACGTTCTCTCCATCCCTGCCCGCCCCCATTCCCTGTAAATAGAAGAAACAATGCACCCACCACAAGTGATCCTGATAAGTGTGGAGCACAGAGAAGCCCTTTCCCTTCAGGCCTGAAGCCAGCATCTGAGTTGTGGACATGGCAGCCACTCCAATTGCTACAGGAGCTCTAGGAAGGAAGCCAGAGATGAGGGTCAGGCAGAGTCTCCTCCCTGAACTGTTCATACAACGAGTCTTGGTTTCTTTTTAAAAGTAGCAGTAGGAGCTGGGGAAACAGTTCAATGGTAAAGTACTTTCCTAGCATGCATGAGGCCCTGGAATCAGACAGTAGCCATGTGGAGATGGCTCAATTGCTCTGTAAACATACTAAACGCCATCTGACTGTGGATTCAAGATGGGCAAACTACGTATGTAAACCACGTCCCATCAAGTCATTAAAAACATAGAGAACAATGCAGTTGATGGACTGTGGAAATGACGAAAGACAGAGAACGCCACATGTCCAAGGGACAGCTAAGTGCAATGTGTTGTCCTAGACTGGACCCTTGAATGGAAAAAGGTACTCAGGTATTTGCAGAGATACAAATAAAGGCTTGAGGATGTTCACAGCATTGTCCCAATATAGGACAACACTCCTTATCTATGATAGCTACAATGGGTAATAAGAGATGTGGCCACTGAGAATGCTGGAAATCATGGTATGCATCAGAACTCTACACCATCTCTTATATTCTTCTATAAATCTGAAGTTACCTATAAAGTAATTTTTTAAAATTCAGCACAGCGCCAGGTAGTGGTGGTGCACGCCTTTAAGCACTTGGGAGGCAGAGGCAGGTGGATCTCATTGAGTTCGAGGCCAGCCTGGTCTACAGAGCGAGATCCAGGACAGCCAGGACTGTTACATGGTCTCGAAAAATTAAAAAAAAAAAAAAAAATCCGCACAGCAAACATCTTACACCCAGATTCACAGGCTCTCCACTGCCATTTACTAAATTTACTATCTGCTTCTTCTGGAAGAACTTATTTTTTCTTTCAGACCTCGGTCCGTGTGTTTTGGGAGCTGTCGTCTTCCTCCACCTCCCTCATACCTCTGTTCCTCTGTGCCCCACCACACACACACCACACACACACACACACACACACACACACACACACACACACACACACACGAGGCACAGCTCTCTGACACAGTACCTGTTCCCCACCAAGGCAATGGCACAGAGGTCGCCTTGCTGTACCTGGGGCAGACCAGTACGGGGCACCACTACCCCTGGCAGCATCAAATCTGTAGCAAATAAAAACGTAACAGCTTACTTAATGTTCCCACTTCATTTTCATGCTTTACTTTATCATATGTCTATCCAATTGACAAAGGATTCACAACTAGAAGCACTAGGTGCTACCTGCTAAAGTTCCCTACTGATTTAAGTACAGCGTGTAGCAGTCCACAAACTGCTTTCACTCTACTTCTAAACGGCTTAAAACAATCAGACGTCCAGAACCACAGAATCAGCTAAGTGGACAAGGAACAACACACACACACACACACACACACACACACACACACACACACACACACGGGGTGGGGGTGTGTGGATACAGTTTTCAACATATAAACACAAAAAATGAGTAGCTTTATTAAGGTGGCTGATAATTACTGAAGAGATTTCAAGGCATAGCTGGAACATAGAAAAATTCTCTTACCTGCTCCCCCGACCAGTTTTTCCAGTACCAGAGGCCATGTTGTAAAGGCTGGTAGGAGATCAGGATAGGACCACAGTGTGTACACTGTACCAAAAGAGACCGAGGAAACACTTAACGAACACTGCCCACTGCAGATCCAGGAATGCCTAGCACCACGCTCACTTTAATTAGAATTCAGAAAGAGAAACAAAAACACTCCAGTTCAAGGTTATAGAGGTTAAAAGAGGTTTCCCAGGGAGACTGCCTTCAGGACGAAAGCAGGGACCTACTGGCACCAGGAAACTGGTTACTACTGAGACTTGGAGGCACCTGTTGTTGCTTCGGGACTGCCAGCAGAAAATGGCCACAGTGAACTAAAATTCGGGGCACAAATCAAAGAGGCTTCCAGGTATGACTTCAGAAGCAATCAATCCCAAAACAGAGCCAGTCTGTAAGAAATTTTGAAACTTTCTCACATTTATATTCTGAGATCCTATTTTCAGTGATTAGCATAAAACTCCTAGATTGAAAAAAAAAAAAGGCTGTATTTGTCTTCAGGTACATCAGCAAACTGGGGAGAGAGATGGGAGAGGCCTAAGGATTCGGCATGGCACTGCTGCAGCCAGACAACCTTAGAGGAAAAGCCCAAGTGACAAAGTAAGTGTCAGCTGCTATGGAAAGAGATCTGTGACAGAGATTTTATTAAATATAAATAAATAAATAAGACAACAGAGAATCTTAGATGACGAATCAGAGCCTAGGAAAACCCACTGTGAAGCAGCCCACGAGGGTGTGTAAATAACACAGCTAGGGTGGCTTCCTTAACCAGCTCACTCCCCAGCCTAGGTTTTCTCTATTGCCTTTTACAGGCAGTTTACAGGATTTTTTTTTACATGCCCTGAAATTCCATCTTTTGCAACACCTCAGCTCTCTCCCAATTCTCCATGCCCCCTTATCACAGAATTTTGCAATTGTCATTTTTCTAAGGTTTTGTTTGGTTTTTTACCCCTTGTATGACAATTTCTGGTCTTGAAAGGCTCAGTTCTAGGAACACTAGGTCTGAAAAGATCTTTAGGAATAGCGTTGGGAAATTCTGTGTTTATTTATTTATTTATTTTTTTTTTTGGTTTTTCGAGACAGGGTTTCTCTGTGTAGCTTTGCGCCTTTTCCTGGAACTCACTTGGTAGCCCAGGCTGGCCTCGAACTCACAGAGATCCGCCTGGCTCTGCCTCCCGAGTGCTGGGATTAAAGGCGTGCGCCACCACTGCCCGGCTCTGTGTTTATTTTATCTGAGAAGGCAAGTAAATAGTGGGAAACAAAAACAAATACCAAACCAAATAAACAGAGTAGCAAATGTTACACAAGGACCCCAGTCTGGGCATCTCTATCTTGTTCCATACCTGTTGGGTACAAATTTTTCTCCAGTTCAAACAGGATGGGGTTACCACCAATCATGTACACAGTCACTGCATCCCCTTTGTGAGCATACAACTTCACGACGTTTAGTTCTTCCTTTCCAGGGATCAACTCAGAGACCCGATCTGTTCCAAGGGTGGGAAAAGCAGCTGTCACATCCGCCCGAAGTTTTCTTCTGCAGAAAGCACATCGGCACCATGAATACTATCTTCTTGACGGACATTAATAAATACTGAAATTCAGAATGACTGTAAAAATCATAAAGGCTGAAGAAAGACTGCCTGGTTTAATAAGCCCTGTTCTCAGCCTTCCAAAATCCCTATTATCTTTCTTACTCATTATTTCGTCTATTTTCACAACTTTCTAGGCTTATGATTCCACACGGATGCTCAGTGAACAATCAAAGTTAGTCTCACATAGTCTCAGCCATTCCGACCCCACAGGCTTTCCTCACTCCTTCCTCAGACTAGTCGGCAAATCTGTCAACTTATGATTAAAAGGCCACTATGGCACCAAAAATGACGCCTAAAGAAAGCTGGTTCCAAAATTCCTGAGGCGGAATCTGTGTCTGCGACTCTGTCTGGAAAGACAGATAACATCTCTCCTTACCACAACTTATACTCTGCCACCTCACTCCAGCGCTCTCCGGCCAGGAGTACCACTTAAAGACATCCCCCTCCCCCAAAACTTTTAGTTTTCGGTACTCCATCTGGGTTTTCCCATGGACTCTAAACTCCGTGGAGGAAGGACAGGACGCCTGTATTCCCTCATTTTACATCTTCCACAACACCTAGTCTGAGCCCACTACACACGGACTAAACTTTATTTCTTGGCCAAAAGACCATCTGGAAGACAAAAGATACCCCCACACCTCATCCTCAAAACGTTTCCAACGTCCCTGCTTGGCTCCCTGGGGGTCTCCTCTCCATGTGCACCCCTAGACGTGTGGGGGCCTCTCTGGGTGAAGCAAAAGCGTTCTCTCCCTCACCTGTCCGATCCCTTGATGGCCGTGTTGGACTTGACCCGAAAGGCCTTAGCGAACATGTCTGCTAGGGTGGCCCAGGAAAGACAAGAAGAACACAGACTCCAGGGACGGTCAGCAAAACGAGGGTGTGGCAGCTCCCCAGCCCTCAACCCTGGAGGCTGCCATGCTGAGGACCCGGCGCCAAAAAGCAGCCGGCTAGGAACCTGATCGCATAGATTTGTAGCCCTAGCGGGCACACCGGCCGGCCCTAGTCCCGGAACTGACGCACGCCGGGCGGGGCGGGACGGACTCGGAACTTCCGCTCCCGGTCTTGCTGGCTGCCTGCTGGTCTGCAGTAGGGCCCTGGTCTGTGTTAACTGCGCCCCATTGCTCTCCTTCTGCCCGATCCGCTCTACGTGTGTCGAGGAGAAGAAACTGCCAGCTTGCAATCTATTCCACACACTTAAAATCCGCAAAGTTAATTGAATTCATGTTTTATTAAACTTGCAGATTTTATTGAATGCTCTTTTTTTTTTTTTAATGCTTAAAGACTTTTATTTGTTCATATCTTTACATGGTATTGTAAACTAAAGGCTTCAGCTAGGAGTTTCTCCTTCTTGATGTTTAACTTACAAGTTAATAGGAATACACACTCCACTCTGGATCCAGGTTTGCCCAGGCGACCAGTCACGGTCAGATAACAAAAGATGGGGCTTCCCCGAGAGAAACTGTGTACTCTGAGGGCAAGGATTTAAACGCCTGGAGGTGCTTAATGTTAGGTTTCAAACCGGGGACAAATGGCTGAAGCACCTGTTTAACATATCAAAGCGGACACTGGGCGCCAGGTTCTCCCTGCTTTGCTCAGTCACAAGGCCTTGCTGGCAGGCATACCCTCACCCTCCCTTAAACTCCAGCCCAGGGGCTGGGCTGCCCTTCCTTATATAGTCAACCATTTTCGTTACCTGGCTTTTCCGTTTACTCTGTTTTGAGCCTCCTGGTTGCTGGACTTAGTACCCCTCCAATCCCCTCCTCCTCTCCCCACATGGAGCTCAATCTGGTCATGACCACTCCGAGCTCTCCCAGATGTCCCTGCCTCTGGCTATGCTCTCCCACATACCTAATTTTCTCCTCCACCATACCTAGGAGCAGTCATGTTCTTCTTATTATTTCTTTCTTTCCTTCTTTTTTTTTTTTGGTTTTTCGAGACAGAGTTTCTCTGTGTAGCTTTGCGCCTTTCCTGGAACTCACTTGGTAGCCCAGGCTGGCCTCGAACTCACAGAGATCCGCCTGGCTCTGCCTCCTGAGTGCTGGGATTAAAGGCGTGCGCCACCACCACCAGACCTTATTTTTTTCATTCACTTAACTTTTATTAAACTAAGTTTTGCATATCAGATCTTCCAAGCAGAGCACCCTTACAGTGACCATCATCATCATCAACACCATCATCATCATCATCATCATCATCATCATCATCACTATCCCAGTTGCACAAAGAAGAATTTCACATTGACTGTCCAATGAAGTGCTTGGTGATCTCTACCGGTCATCTACTGGGGTATAGTTGCTAACCACAGCTTCTACACCTCCGATCCTCCAGGCTTTATTGGAAGCACCCCACCCCAAACCAAAGGCAGAGGAGCCTAGAGGAGGGCATTCTCCACAGACTCCTGTTCCTTGAACTGCTGTGTATCCACACTTAAGATATAACACTAAGTGTTTGTGGTCTGGAGGACTGAGGAAAGTCTCAGGGGAATACTAGAAATTTAAAGCTGGGAAAACTATTGTACGGTTGATCCGAAGATGTTAATTGTCATCCTAAAAATTAATTAATGGTCAGTAAGTAGGAGCCATGATTCAGGGAATTAGGCACTGCCATATCCAGCCTCTCTGAATAGATTTGGAGCACAAATCCATATATGCTGGCTTGTTCTTCTGTCAACTGACAAAAGCTAGAGTCATCTGGGTGTAGAAGCCTCAACTGAGAAAATGCCTTCATCAGATTGTTCTGTAGACAAGTCTACAGGGTATTTTCTTGATTGATGATTGGTGTGGAAAGGCCCAGCCCATTGTGGGTGGTGCCACCCCTGGGCAAGTGGTCTTAGGTTTTATTAGAAAGTAAACTGAGCAAGCCAATATGCAGTGGTTCCCTCTCATGGTCTCTGCTTCAGTTCCTGCCCTAACTTCCCTCAAAGTTAGGCTGTGAACTGGAACATATAAGCCCAATAAACCCTCTCCTCTCAAAAGTTGCTTTTGGTCAGTGTTTTATCACAGCAACCAAAGTAACCCACTCATCCTTGGTACGTACCATCCTCACATTCTCTGCATCAGGACCAGCCTTCTGCCTATGATGACTCTGAAGCTGGACAGCTAGCTGAAGACAAGCCAGCACCCTGCATCCCTTAGCAACCCCAGTGTGCCCCAAAGGGTTTCCAGACTGTCTTGGGTCAAAGTTGTAGAATTGTGGAAAGGTGAGGAAAGCTGCAGCATGCACATGCTTGTGTGTATGTGCCTGTGTGTGTGTGCTTGTGTGTGTGTGTGTGAGTGCCTGTGTGTGTGTGTGAGTGCATGTGTGTGTGTGGTGTGTGCCTGTGTGGGTGTGCCTGTGTGTGTGTGTGTGTGTGTGTGTGTGTGTGTGCATGTGTGTGTGCCTGTGTGTGTGTTTTCCTGGGATTAAATTTAGGGCCTCTCACATGCTGGATGTGAGTACTTTACCATCGAACTACCTCAGCTGTTTATTTATTGTATGTATGTGTTTTTAGGCAAGTTCTCACTAAGTTGTCCAGATTGACCTTGAACTCATTCTCTGGCCTCGGCATGCCTTGAGCTTGTGATCCTCCTGCCTCAGCCACCCAAGTAGCTAGGATTACAGCACTACAACTGCTAAGAGTGGAATTTGCTGGGGTGGGGGTAATTTTCACTAATTACACTTGGCAGGAACGCAGCTGTAACATAGATGCCTTACAAGAACAAGGGATATCTTGAAGTAAGCATAGACTAAAAGAGAGATTCCCTTTTCATTAGCAGAAGAGTGCAATTAGCTTAATTAAATGAGACTTAACGGCTTAGGCTCTGTGCTTATTAAGGTGAGGGCCAGGTTTGCCAGGAGAGCCTAGAAACCTAGGTTTGATCCCTGAACTCCATACAAAGGTGGAAGGAAACAGCCCACACTAGAAAGTTGTCCTTCGGCCTCCGCACATGCACCATGGCACCCATGTACGTGCCACACACATATTGTACATACCCATGCAAGAATAAACATAAACTGGGCTGGAGAGATGGCTCAGAGGTTAGGAGCACTGACTATTCTTCCAGAGGTCCTGAGTTCAATTCCCAGCAACCACATGGTGGCTCACAACCATCTGTAATGAGATCTGGCTCCCTCTTCTGGCCTGAAGGGATACATGCAGGCAGAACACTGTATGCATAATAAAATAAAAAAAAAAAAACTTAAAAAAAGAATAAACATAAACTAAAGGGAAGGATTGAACACAGTCTTTCTGCTCTCAGAGAGCTTACCCTCTGATGAGCGGCATGCAGGTCCTTTTGTGTTCCCAAACTGTTTAGTCCTTCACTAGGTTCTTATTGTGTCTACTGAAACCCAGATCTTCTGGAAACATAGATCACTGTGGTTTACATTTCCTGTGGGATCTATGGTTTGAAAAATTTTGATAGATCCTGATGGTTTTTAGGATGAAAAGATGTTTTCGTGGCTTCAGGAGGCTGGGGGCACAGCTCAGTGGTAGAACACTTACCTAGTGTGGGGACGTGACAGCCAGCCCTAACCTGATGGCACTGCTTTTTCCTGCCCAGAACTGACCTTCTCTACCCCAGTCATCAGAGTGCTCAGACCTGAGTAGTAGTTTATGCAGGTCCCCTGTGATGATGACTAAAGGGACATACTATGGGTCCAGGCACCCTTCAGGGGACATTGACTGTTTGGATGCCTGGGAGATGCTAGTGGCCTGCAGGTGAGATAAGGAGAGGATAGTGGGCCGTGAGGAACCAACAGCTGCCTTTGCTTCTGTAACACCTGCTCATTGCTATGGGAATGGGATGGAATGGTCTTTTTGTTACTATGTAGCGGGCAAGTAAGAGACAGCTGAGGGAAGGAAACAATGTTCCTGCCCCGCTGTGGATTCCATGGACAGTTGGCACACACACCTTTCTGATGTCCACCTCAAAACCTCTCACGGTAACCCCACTTCCACATGCCAGGCTGTTTTGGTTCTAAGGCTGCCGTCCTTCTGCTGGCAGTAAGAATAAATTCATTTCCTCTAAATTTGAATTGAGTCTAAGTCTCTGGTTTCTCCCAGGGGATTCGAACACCACAACACTAGCACACATGAGAGCCTGCATTCAACGGAAAACAAAACAAAATCAAACGAGTCTTACTGAACTGGGCCACAGACTGTTTTGTTTTACTGTTCTCAACAGCTCCCCCTCACCTTCTGTCAACTCTACACAGCCTAGATTCACCAGGGAGTCTCAACGCGGGACTGACAGCTTTGTTGGCCTGTGGGCATGGCTGTGGGGAGTTGTCTTAATGTAGTTAATTAGTGTGGTAAGAGCCTTGCAGGAAGTCCTGCACGTATGGGAGTAGAGACCTCGGGCTGAGCACAAGCTAGCAGCGTGAATGCACTTGTTTCTCTCTGTTCCTCCCCGTGGATGTGACACACACCCCTGCCACCATGATTTCCCTGCTGTGACGGACTGTCACCTGGAACTGTGAGCTAAAATAAACCCTTTCTTCCCTGAGTTGCCTTTGTCAGAGTGTTTTATCACACTCACAGAAGTGAAACTAGAACACCTTCCCAGCAGTGCTATGGCCGTGTACTGCCCACCCACCCCCACCCACTTCATTAAGTGGGATATCTAGAACACAGGGAGGGTTATTAACTTGTCCAGGCTCACACAGTTACCTTGTATTATTTAGTCTGTGGATGATGCTTTCTAAGTACTAAGAAAAGACAGATGTGACAAATGGTGGTATCACCATAAATATCTAGCCACGGGGGTAGGGGTGCATTTAATTACCCCCTATATTTCATAAAAAGCAACCCTAGATAAATAAAATTTCTAAATGTAAAAACTACATGCCACAGAACTAAGTATGTTCTTACAACGTGACCTAGTACTCATACTTCTTGGTATTTACCCATGTGGATTTAAACTTGCATCCCGACAAGAAACTGCTCACCACTGTTTATAGCAACTTCATGTAGAATTAACAAAACTTGAACTTGACCTTCAGAGCAGGGTACCCTTTCACCCATCAATCATCATCATCATCATCATCATCACCATCATCATTCCAATTACTTGATTATTGACACAATTACTCAGAGGAGAATTCCACAAATAACTACAATGCCCTTTGGTAGGTGAAGGAATGTATCAGTCAGCCTTACACTGCTGTGACAAAATATTTGAGAGAAAGCAATTTATAGGAGAAAAAAAAATGTCTGTCTCACAGTTTCAGAGGGTTCAGTCTGGGGACACTTGCTTTGAGACCTGTGACAAAGAGGGGCATAATTGTGGAAACCCATATTGGAGCAAAACTGCTCATGTCGTGGCAGTCAGGACGCAAGAAAAGAGCTGCTTTTATGAGAAAGTCATCACCCTCGGGTTCGAATTAAACTGTGTATCTATACATAAATGCCCATGACATCAGAGCCCTCGGGATCAAACCATTTCCTAAAGACACTAACTTCGGGACACTGCCACTTTGGAGACCAAGCCTTCCACACACAAGCTCTGGGGCGACATCTAAGGTCCAAACCATAACAATGGACAAACTGTGCTACGTCCACGAATGGAATATTAACCAGCACTGTAAGAAACGAACTATCAAGTCATAGCAACACATGAAGGACCCTAAGTTAGTATTAGGAAGTAAGTGAAGGCAAGCGGAGACTGGAGAGATGGCTCGGCAGTTAAGAGTGCTTGCTGTTCTCGCCACGGACTGGGTTTGGTGCCCAGCACCCACACGCTGGCTCATAACCATCCTATAATTGCTATTGCAGAGGATCTAAAGTCCTTTTCTGACCTCCACAGACACTGCTCCCAGGTGGTGCAAATACATCCATGGTAGCTGAACATCCATACACACAAAAGAAGAAGCCATTCTGAAAAGGCTTATACCTATAAAATGTAAGTAACAAGTTAACGAGTCTAACTATATGACATTTGAAAGGGGCATAACTGTGGAAACAATAAAAAAAAACAGAGTAGCTCCTGGAGTTGGTAGGAAGGCAGACATCTAAGGGCAGAGAAACTATTCTGTGTTATACCATACAGTTGGCACATAAACATTGTAATATGCAAAGAAATGAACCAGTTCTTACTTTAGGCCATACTCAAATAAATCAGACATTAGGCCTAAATAGAAAATATAAACCATAAAGATACTTTTTATTTTTTATTTTTTATGTATGAGTGTTTTGCCTACATGTGTGCATGTGTACCACATGCATGCCTGGTGCCTGCAGAGGACTGAAGAGGGCATCATATTCCCTGGAACTGGAGTTACCAATGGGTGTAAGCCACCAAGTGGATGTTGGGAATTGAATCTGGATCCTTTGCAAAAGCAGTTGATGCTCTTAACTGCTGAACTATCTCTCCAGACCCTCATAAAACTTCTTCAGAAATGAGAAAATCAGCTGGACATGATGGTGCATGCCTTTAATCCCAGCATTTGGGAGATAAAAGCAAGTGGATTCCTATGGGTTTAAGGCCCTGATCTACAGGGAAAGAGAGAGAGAGAGAGAGAGAGAGAGAGAGAGAGAGAGAGAGAATACCCTTGATTCTATTTAGCCAAATCCTCATATATAGGGCCAAACAACATAATATAGATAGATAGATAGATAGATAGATAGATAGATAGATAGATAGATAAAGTGATCATTCGAATTAACAAATTTTCCTCTTCATAAGACAGAATTAAGATTTCCCCCCCCCCAAGACAGAGTTTCTCTGTGTAGCCTTGGCTATCCTGGAACTCACTCTGTAGACCAGGCAGGCCTCGAACTCACAGAGATCCAATTACCTCTGCCTCCCGAGTGCTGGGATTAGTGATGTGCCACCACTGCCTGGCTAGAATTAAGACCTTGATAATTGCTAAGAGAGTAAAATTAAAGTATTTCCAGCACAATAAATAAATAAAATAAATAAATAAATAAATAAATAGAAATTGTGTATGCACTAGTCAGCTTAATTTAGCCATTTTATTTATTTTTTTATTTATTTATTTTTATTTATTTTTTTTTTTTCTGGTTTTTCAAGACAGGGTTTCTCTGTGTAGCTTTGCGCCTTTCCTGGAACTCACTTGGTAGTCCAGGCTGGCCTCGAACTCACAGAGATCCACCTGGCTCTGCCTCCCGAGTGCTGGGATTAAAGGCGTGAGCCACCACCGCCCGGCAATTTAGCCATTTTATACAGGTAAAAAAAACCAGTGGTACACAAGACATTTGTACCATTTTATTGTCAATTAAAAAGGGAATGTTTAGGATTAAAAACACATTAAAATAATAGAAAGATAAATCACAGACTGAGAAAAACAATCATATCTATAATATTTAAAGTACTCTCAAAACTCGATATTATGCCAGGTAGGTGGTGGTGCACACCTTTAATCCCAGCATTTGGGAGGCAGAGGAGGGCAGATCTCCGTGAGTTCGAGGCCAGCCTGGTCTACAGAGAGAGTTCCAGGACAGCTGGAGCAACACAGAGAAACCCTGTCTTGAAAAACCTAAATAAATAAATAAACCCACAACATTAAGGAAATAAATAACCCAATAAAAGTTTTAATTAGCCCCATGTTATTTATTTTGCTGCTGCATAAAACACCGTGACAAAAGCAGTTTTCAGAAGAGTTTATTTAGGCTATGTTTCCATCAGGATAGGAGTCCATCACAGCAGGAAAGCATGACCATAAGCCACAGGCATGGAAGCTGAAAGCTGAGGGCTAACACGTTCAAAAACAAGTAGGAAGCAGAAAGCAAAGAGGAAATGGGAGACTATAAACACTCACAGCCCATCCCAACTGGTGTACTTCTGCCAGCAAGGCTCCACATCCCAAAGGTTCCATAACCTCCCCAAACAGTGCCACTAACTGGAGACCAAATGTTCAAATATGGGAGCCTATGGGGGACATTTCTCATCCAAACCTCAGCACGCCCTTTCCAAAAAAGCTATCCAAATGGGTTTTAGCCACATGAGAAGAGTCTTAACATTATTAGTCATTAGAGAGATAGAAATTAAAACTACAATAAAGGAGTGGAGCGATGTTCGGCAGTTGGAATCACTTCCTAGATGGCTGAGTTTGGTTCCCAGCACCCATATCAGGTTGACCAATTGACAATCATCCCTAGCTCTAGGGTCACAGCATCTGGCGCCCTCTTCTGGCCTCCTAGGGTATCTCTGTATAAACCCACACACCAGTTTCAGGCCCTTTTGGGCTGTAGGTAGCACTGGTTATAAGGGGGGAAATGTGAAAAGTAGCAACACAAAATAAATTTGAGAAATGGGTTTGGCACTAATAAGGACAGTCTTAAGGGCTTAGGGGACACAGAACCAAGCATTCATAATACTAGAAACACCAAGTCTGAGAGAGTGAGTTTCTCATGAATGGTTTATTTTAAACATGCATTCCAGTTTTGCGATACATGTGCCATCATACGCATCACGGTACATATTGCTACAAAGAAACCCATAGCAATGAAATGATTTCAACCTGAACTCAACCCTCCAGCAGCTGCTTTATCACAAAACTACAACTGAGTGGCCACAGGGGCATTTTCTACTGCATCCCTCTGAAAGTGTTGTGGTCATATACTGAATGTCCACTTGTTTTATTTGTGTTTGTGGTACTGGAAATGAAAACCAGGGCCTCCTGCAGCTATACAGATATTGTACTATTGAACAACACTTCCAAATCCCTCTATTTCCCCCGCTAAGATCCTGGAATAGTTGCATTAAAAAAACATCTATTACAGGCTCTTCAGTTTTCCTGTATATTAAAACTGGCTTCAAAAGACAGGCAAACCTCTCAGATGACTTGGCTAGTCCGTGGTAGGTAATTCTTGTTTTAGTTTTTCAGAGAGAGAGATAATGGTGATTTTGAACCATTCTTCATTTATTTAAAAAATATTTTATTATTCAATAACTTCATACATGAATCCAATTTTAGATTTATCTTAGTATATGAGTGTATTGCTCATGTGTATGACAATGCACCACATGTGTGCCTGGTACTCTCAGATGTCAGAAGAGGGCATTGGACCCCCTGGAACTGGAGTTACGGATGGTTATGAACTGCCATGAGGGTTCTGGGAATTAAACCCGGTCCTCTGCAAGAACAGCCAGTGCTCTTAACCACTGAGCCATCTCTCCAGCCCTTATCCAATGTATCTGATCATATCCAACCAAAATCATTCCTCTAACTCCTCACTCCCTCAAAACTTTGTCCTCTGCCTTCACGTCCTTCTTTTACTTACTTTAATATAACATTTATCAAATACGTATTTTACATATGTGAAATATGTAAAAATATGTAAAAAATTTATCCTTGCGCAGAAGCCGTGTTTTCTTTGTATTGTATTGTTTCTTTGTATTTTCTTTGTATTGTATTTCTGTACAAGGGGTGCTAGAATGAGTGTACTGAACTACACTTAAACGACGCTTCTCATCAGCGGGAGGTCACAGGGCAGTTCTTTAGTGAGGGTGTGGTTGTTGTTACAAAACAGGGATCCTTGGAAGAAATGCTGGAAAGTCCTTAGGTCACTAAGGTCGGAAACTCATGAAGTCCAGCACCCTCGAGGAGTTCTCCCTCCCTTGACCATGTAAATAACGGGCTAAAAACAAAGGCAGCTTCTGTTCCCACTCCCCAACCCGCTTAGGGACAAGAAAGCAAAGCAGGACCCAGCAGGAAAGCATCAGCTTGGCTCAGAAGATACGTCTTAAAGGCAGAAGCGGAGATACAGTGATTCTCAAAGCAGTGATTCACAACGAGGTAATTAAACACGTCCAGGCAAGTTCCATCCAACTCTTTCCCGTAGTAAAGTAGTCTGAGGCGTTCACCAAAAGCAGGATCGTTTAGGGGAATTTTGTAATCTTGGAGCTGGGAGGAGCCTTTTGTTGCCATGGAATTCTGTCTTCAAACAAAAGATTCAAAGAGCCCAAATAAAAAACCCCTGCGAAAGCAACATTTCACTGGTTGTGGGTGAAGGGGAGGCAGAAAGAAAAAGCTTTTTAGAAACTTTAAAAGGTCATCATGGAAGAAAACATTTTTAATTATATCACAGAAAGACTAAAACAACACTGATCATAAGTAAAGTGTCCCAAATGGACGGATTCCTAACTATAAAGAGACCGTGGATCTTCAGAGACGAACAGGGACTGTGACTTTAGGAAGGCAGTAAGGGGTCTTGGGTGGAAATTTGAAGATTTATGGAATTATGCTTTTTGAAACAACTCCCAGTGTACACCAGGTGGCGTGCGCGTCCGACTTGTGGAAGAATCTTTGGTTTTTCTGGTGGATCCAATAGGCCCGCTGAGTTGCAGCCTTAGGAAATCTGATGGGTACCATGCTCAACACCACAACCACTACCTCTTCTGTGGCGTAACCACCTTCCTTTTCACTTCCATTCCAACTGTCGAAGTCGGCTTACCATACTGAACTTTTCAGAAAGAGTGAGGTACGCTTTCGCACATTAAAGACGGGCAGAGCCTTCCAAGGGGCCAGCTGCGCAGAAAGGCTGCGCTGCAGATGCTTCCAGGCTTGGTTTCACTGCTGGGCGAGTACGAAGAAGCAGCGCAGCTTCTTGGGCCTCCGTTTTCTCTTCTGAAAAACAAAAACAAAAACAAAAACAAAAACAAAACACCCTCAACGACCCAAGCGCACTACCGTGAGCAGCACACCCCTCGCTCCGCCCCCCTCCCGGCCCCTCCGCGGCGGCGTTGCGCAGGCGCGGTGCGGCGTGCGCGGTTGCTAGGCGACGCGGCCGCTCCCGCGCGGTCTCCACTACCGGCGGCGCGAGCCGAGCGCGGAGCCGCCGCTTGTAGCGAGGCCAGGAGGTGCGGTGCTGGTGGCCACCGTCCCGGCCAACCGCCGCCGCCACCGCTGTGCCCGCGGGGCGAGCTCGCGATGGGAGGCGCAGCCCGCGGGCGCGGGAGGAAGGACGCGGCGCTGCCGGGGGCCGGGCTCCCGCCGCAGCAGCGGAGGTAACGGCGCCCGGGTGGGAGCGGGAGGACTCTTTGCGGGGCCGGGCTGCCTGTCCATCAGCGCGGTGGGCGGGAAGGGCGGGGGCGGCGGGCAGCGCAGCCTCCCGACGGCCGGGGCTGGGAGCACGCCCCGGACCTGTGCGCTGGACCTGTGAACCGCGCCCTGTTGCTCCGAGAGACCAGCAGAGCTTGCTCTCCAAACGCCCCTGGCTTTGTGGGGGCCCCCTCTTTTCGCACCCAGCCCTGGGTGAGGGAACCCTCTCGGGTCGTTCGCATATCTTGCTGTTGCTCTGCAGCTGCGGTGCCGGTCCCTGTGTGTTTTTTTTTATCTTACTGTGGCAGAGGCAGGTCCCATCCAGAAAAAAAATTGGCTTCTGTTACCGAGACATTGTCTGAACATGCTCTTTTTAAGGCGATGTTTCAATTTCTGTGTGTGTATTTTTAAGCCCCCCCCCTTTATTCCTTCAACACTTCAGTTAAACTCCAGAACTAATTTTATGAGATAGACCTTAAAAGTGACTGAAATATAAAAAAGATGTTTGTTAAAGACAATGAAGAATGTTACCTCGTCATGATTGTGCTCGTAGTATATCATCTGAGATGACAGCGTGAAACAATGACGTGTGTGACCAGGAAACCCATAGTCTCGGTAGCAGATAAAATGTATTATTCAAGGCCGTCTTTGTGGATCCTGCCCATTGTCTGTGTGACTTCACAGTGGTAGATCCACAGACTTGATCAGCACCCCTGTAAACATTCCCCCATCTTCCGGGAAGTATAGTGGGAACGGAAGAGAGAGTCAGAACATTTTGTTACTTAAAGCATCTGGTTCCTGTTGACTGCCTTTTTCACAAGCTAGGTTAGCTGTAAGTAGGTGTGTAGGTAAATAAGAGAAGACAGCCCCAAAAGGTTTCTTGCTTGTCAGAGAGTGTGGACCCTTTCTTCCCGTTAACTTGTGAGCCGGTTTAGACTGGAAGGCAGCACAGCCAGGTAGAGCTGAGATTAGAACCCAAGTCCTGAGACAGCGAACACCTCTGTCCTGTTTGCTCTCTTCTGATTTTAGGTTTGCTATTCAAATTGACCTTCACTCTCAAGTAGTATGCTAATTGATGGCCCTTCATATTGATTTTTTTTAGTAACATTCAGAAAGTAAGATTTGATGTAACTATTTTATTTACTTATTGTTTGTTTTGTTAGGGACAGGGTCTCTTTATTATGTAGCCCTGGCTGTCCTGGAACGCACTCTGTAGACCAGGCTGGCCTTGAACTCAGAGAAATCCACCTGTCCCTGTCTCCTCCTAAATGCTGGGATTAAAGGCATGCACCATCACACCCAGCCAGTTGTAACTATTTTTTTTTTTTTTTTTTTGGTTTTTCGAGACAGGGTTTCTCTGTGTAGCTTTGCGCCTTTCCTGGAACTCACTTGGTAGTCCAGGCTGGCCTCGAACTCACAGAGATCCGCCTGGCTCTGCCTCCCAGTGCTGGGATTAAAGGCGTGCGCCACCACCGCCCGGCCAGTTGTAACTATTTTAAAATTTGAGTCTAGAAATATTTTCCTTTCTTTAAAAAGAAAAGGGGGCCAGGAGTGGTGGTCCAGAGGTGTAGACAGGTGGATCTGTGTGAGTTCAAGGCCAGCCTGGACTACATAGTGAGTTCCAGGACAGCCAGGGCTTTGTAAGAGGCCCTTTGTAAAAAATTAATTAATTTTTTAAAATGGAAAAGAGGGCTGGAGAGATGGCTCAGGCATTAAAAGCTCGGCTCACAACCAGGAATATGAAAATGAGGAAGAAAGGTTGAGACCCTTCTCTCCTGCTGCCCAATGCTCCACTTGTTTATTTGCAGTGTCAGAAGGGGTGAGAAACAGTTAAGGCCTGGGGTGCTTTGAAACTGCAAGCTCATTTTGTTTAGTTACTGACCGGTTTGATCTGCAATCCTTTCCAATAGGTTGGGGGATGGTGTCTATGATACCTTCATGATGATAGATGAAACCAAGTGCCCACCCTGTTCAAACACTCTCTGCAATCCTTCCGAAGCACCTCTCTCCAGAAGACTAAATGTAAGTACAGGACGGAATTCTTACCTGAGATTGTCTCAAGGGCCGGGCGGCGGTGGTGCATGCCTTTAATCCCAGCACTTGGGAGGCAGAGCCAGGTGGATATCTGTGAGTTCGAGGCCAGCCTGGTCAACAGAGAGAGATCCAGGACAGACACCAAAACTACACAGAGAAACCCTGTCTCGAAAACAAACAAACAAACAACAACAACAACAACAAAAAAAGGTTGTCTCGAAGCGCTATGCAATACTCAGGTTCAGTTCTGTATCACTGGCAACACAGACTTCCTTTTGTTGTGGTGGTTTGTTTCTTTTGTTTTGAGGTTTTTTGTTTGTTTGTTTGTTTTTGGAGGGTTTCTTTCGGTTTTTAAAACATTTAAAAAAGGTTTTTTTTTTTGTTGTTGTTGTTTTTTTTTTTTTTTTTTTTGACACAGTCTCAGTATGTAGTCCTGCCTGGGCCTGAAATTCTGTGTAGACCAGGCTGGATTCAAACAGAGATGCACCTGCCTCTGTCTCCAGAGGGCTGGTGTTAAGTGGGTGTGCCACTGTGCCTGCTTAGTTTGCCTTTGATTTCTCCTGACTTGGGGAAAAACAGTCCTGAGGTTGGTGTTCAGCTTTTAAGAACAGTTTTGAAGTCTACCCTCCTCTTATACTTTCTACTGGGGTGGATATGGCAGACGTGGGGGTGGAGTGGGGATCCTCTTGTTTAGGTGATGTTTCTTTTTATAGCAGATGACATACATAGAGTCTTACAGACACTTCTTTTAACAGAAACCACAGGGAAAAAATGCCAGAATTCATAATCAGCTCAGCTTTCCTTTTTGGTCCTGGCAGATCAGTATATGGAAGGCAGCTGGTTTTGTTTTTGTTGTTGTTATTTTAACTCATAGATTAATCTTAAACAATACAGCTTGGGTTTTGATGAATTCAAATCCTGTTAGGAACTGCAGACCCTTAGCTTTTGACATTGTTTGGTTTAAGGTAATAATGAAATGACTCCACAGTCCATCTGTGTAAGTAGAGTCGTAGAGCTGTCTGGACAAGTTCCAAGGCGAGGAGCCTGTCTGTGACTTGAAAATGTGCTACAATGTGTCATCTAACAGACCTTCCAAGGAGCTGAGCTGACTGCTTGGTAATTTTCTCTTTCACGTTTCCACTTACCACTTGGCAATTGTTCTTTTCTTATTTTACTCTGTAATTTGACTTTAAAAATACTGCATTTATTTATCTGTGCACGTTTCTTGGTGTGGTGTGTGTGCCCTCACATGCAGGTGAACGCTTGAGTGCATGTGTGCCTTCATTCATCAGATTCGGTGGCAAGGGCCCTTACCTGCCAAGCCATCTTGTTAGCCTTGTAACTGTTCCTGCTTCTTCCCTGGTTTTTACGACTTTCAAGGCTAATAATATTACAATGCCTGGTCTAAAAATATTTGGAAATCTGGTCACGCTCTTTTTTCATCTCTTCTGGAGCTCAGTGGAGGTTCTTTCCATTGCTGTGAGTTTGTTTCTGTGGTATCTGAACACCTTTGAGAAATCCAGAACCATCTCTTCGGTGACCGTCGTATTTCCTTTATTGTCAGGGTGGGGAGCAGGGCAGCGTGCGGGCAGATGTGGTGCTGGAGAGTACATCTGAATCAGCAGGCAGCAGGAAGAAAGTGTGACACTGGGCCTGACTTGAGCATCTGAAACCTCAGAGGCCACCCCCCAGTGACACACTTTCTCCAACAAGGCCATACCTCCTAATAGTGCCACTCCCTATGGGCCTATGGGGGCCATTTTCATTCAAACCACACAACTGTTGGTTGAGAAAAAAAATGGAAGGAATGTTTTATTATAGCACAGAAGACTTGGTATATAATTACTCATTTCAGGATTTGAGATTTATAAAAAAGAGAAGCATGGTAAGGAAAGATCCCCTTTCTGTGTGGAAAAATCCTTGATGGAGTTTCTCCAGCTTGCTGGAGATCTGAACTTTGACAATCTGTAGTGGACTATATCTGAGCTATACACTGTCCGAGAAGCCACCCTTCAAGAAAGACACACCTTGCATCCCAAAGAGACTGTGATGAGAGAGCCTGCTAGGCATGGGTGAGGGGAGAGGAGGAAACAGGGATGGTGTCTACAGAAGAAAAACGGGGCAAGGAAAGGACAGCAGCCCTGTTTACATTTCCAGGGACTTTCACATGAACCGTGGGCACAGCCTGGGAATTCTTAGACCGCTCGACCACGCTACCCCTGCGTCAAGGCCTGGGAATTCTTGATGGTGAGGGTAGCACTCAGTTTGCAAAGAGTGCAGGTCAGGCTCAGTGTACGGACAAACCAGGTCAGGCTCAGTGTACGGACAAACCAGGAGTCAGATCAGTGGTGCTCTTAGTTTTGTTAAAATAATTCTATGGGAATTGGACCTCTATTAAATACTTATCCTTAGTAATATACTGTGCCTGAGACCCATCTCCTTATCACACACAGAAGTGAAGACCTTCAGAGTCTTCCATTAGGCAGAGGATTTCCCAGGGGCAGATCCAGGGCCACAGATACTTGTCCCACCAGCATGCTGAAGGTGACTCCTAGAGAGGCACCCCTATGCATTAAGGCAGTGGTTTATGTTAAAGTCGGAATACCCCTGGAAAGACAACAGAACACTTGAATAGCAAGCAGAAGGCAGGCTTTATGCCAGGGAGGAAGAGAGCTAGGTGTCTCCATGCAAAAACTCATTGCTGGGCCCTTCTTTGGGCAGATAGTTAGTTAGATGTTCAGTAGAGGGAGCCTTGTGACGTGGAGCGGAAGCCACCACAGGAAGAAGAGAAAATCAGCAGAGAGAAAGGGAGAAAGGGGATGGGGGTTAAGCCGTCACACACCGAGAAATTTTACACAGTGGTAGCCAGTGTTTTGAGTATGTTTTACTGTTTGTCAGAGTCTTTCGTGTTTTGATTATAGTTTGATTCCCACAACATGCTACGCACGTAGGTATTATCCACATTGTATAGACCCAGAAACAGAAGTTATAACAGGTTCAAGTAATGGTCCCAGGTCCTAGAGCTTAAGTAGGGCAGCCGGGCCCGGCACAGACCTTTTGACTTTGTATAGATCTACAGTGTGTTCCAAAGACCTTAGCAGTAAATATTTCAGTGTATTAAAATTAGGTAGGGATGCCGGGCAGTGGTGGCGCATGCCTTTAATCCCAGCACTCGGGAGGCAGAGCCAGACGAATCTCTGTGAGTTCGAGGCCAGCCTGGGCTACCAAGTGAGTTCCAGGAAAGGCGCAAAGCTACACAGAGAAACCCTGTCTCGAAAAACCAAAAAAAAAAAAAAAAAATTAGGTAGGGAACGAGTTGTGAAAAACTGACCAAGTTGCATGCAGATATTCACTATATATAATCTCCAAACCATTATTCTTTGCCCAGCTCAGCCTTATAGGTAGATTAAACTTCTTAAGAGTACTTGCGTTTTTTAGTGTGGGTGGCAAATGGTAAACAGTAGACATTCTGGTGAGTATTGGGTGGATGGAAGGAAGGAGAGAGGGAGCTCACTCTTGGTTTTTCTTTTTTTTTTTTTTCTTTTTTTTTTTGTTTTTTTCAAGACAGGGTTTCTCTGTGTAGCTTTGCGCCTTTCCTGGAGCTCACTCTATAGCCCAGGCTGGCCTCGAACTCACAGAGATCCGCCTGGCTCTGCCTCCCACGTGCTGGGGTTAAAGGCGTGCACCACCACCACCCGGCCACTCCTGGTTTTTCATTTCTAAAAGTAAGCTGGCTCTGTGGGTAAAGGCTCTTATCGCCAAGCCTGAGTTCAACCCCCAAGAGTCCTATGGTAAAAGGAGAACTGGTTTCTGAAAGTTGTTCTCTTTACCCCCACATGTGTGGGGGGTCCATACCCTCCTCCTCACCAAGAAATAATACGTATAATAAAGGTATGTGACTAATTAGTATATGGTATTACAGAGAGAAGACTGAAGTTGGTTCTTGAAGGCATATAGGATATGA